TGTTGTGGAAAATACTAGTGAATATTAGCTGAAAATATTCAGCTAATAACAAGCTTTTAGGGATAAAAATAGGACCTAATTACCTATTAAAAGATTCTCATATAACAGCTTAATAAATAGAGAATTCTATTTTCCTGGCTGGCTTTCTTTACAGCCTATTTTAGTGCCTAATAAATGCTCTGAAAGGTTTATACAAAATATTCAGGAAAATATGAGGCATCTAACCATGTCTTCAAGTGCAAAGATTTAGCTGACTAAAAAGGTAATCTGGAGGTAGAAATGGAAAGTCAGACTATTGTCAAGGCCTGAACTTCAGCAGTAGTAGTAAGTTTTTCCCCAATTCTATATGGGGTCAGCTCCCTGAAATAATGGACACTTTTTTGGGCAGGTGAGGAAGAAAAAGTTAAAGAAAAAGCTAAAAAGCATCAGTGGGATGCCCAGAGGTAAAGCAAGAAGGCCTGGAAAGCATGAGGGAACAAAGTAGAGATGGTTACCAAAATCCTTAGTTCAATTTTTGGTCAGGGGTTGGCCCTATTTCCTTCTCTGGAACTAGATGCAGACCTGATTAATTACCCAACTTTGGAAATCCTAAGGTAGACAGGTGGAGGACTATCCACTTTTACTAGTTGGAATCATAATCTTCCTACTTACAAAGGGTTCCAATTATCTGGAATGCTGATGCCCACTTCCCACCTGAAAAACTTCCTTAATGCCAGTCCCTTACTTACCTTGAAATCCTATGCAATCTGGCTTTTATATCCTGGCTTCTTCATTAACATTGCTCTCGAGTATTATGACGCCTTGCCACAACGAATGTGCTTTTATTAGCCTCTTTACCTCTCCTGGCCCATGTACTCCTTAAAGTATCTTTTGCTTTATGTGACAATACATGTCTTCCTGTGCTTTGCTGTTTTTACTTACAAAAAATTAAATTTTAAAAATCAAATGGAAGTATAGAAAAGTCTTCTTTCACATCCTCTTTCCTGTTACATAAAGTAACCGCTGAGTTAACAATTTGTTAGGTTCTTTTTTCATTTACCATTTCTTATAACCCTTTCCATGTTGCTAAATGTATGTAGATGTGTAATTCAGCCATCCTTCCACTGATGAATATTCAAATTTCTAATTATTTACCATTAAAAAGTGTTGCAACGACTATCCTAGTATATATAAGTTATTTTGAAGATTTTACAACTCGATAGTTGCTGGCTCAAGCATAACGTACATTTGGAATTTTGACAGTGTGAAATTGTCCTTCATGGGTCTCACCACTTTTGTTCACCAGCAGTCTTCAGAGTACTTGTTTAGACCACCTCTAAACATTCATTATCCATAATCTTTTAGTTTTTATCATTGTGATGTCTCAACAGTCTGAGTTTGAGTATCCTCTTTTCCTAATTTGCTCTTGGTATTTTTATCATGTTTTTTGCTAATTCTATTGAGTTATTCTTTCTCACTGAAAACAAATTTTCTGTATTGTCTCTTAAGACTTTATAATTGTTAATAACTTTAATTCTGAAATTTCTGTATATGAAAATATTGAAGAACCTATATTTCTGTATTTGAAAAACTCTGCCTCTATAATGGGGTTATTTCTGGACTCTAGTTACACTAATCTCTTTGTCTAGTCCTGTTCTAATACCACCCTGTTCTAAATAGTCTAGTTTTATAGTTCTAATATGTATGTGGGTTAAGTCTCATTAATTGATCTTTTCGAAACATGTTTTGGTTAACCTAGCATATTTAATCTTCCAGATAAACTTTAAAATCATCTTGCCAACTTCCACTAAAAAATTACATTAGATTTTTACTTCCAATGCAACAAATTTACTTTCAGGAGAATCCTATCTGCAGTACTGAACCTCCTCACACAGGAACATAGCATCTTTCCCTTTACTCGGTAACATCCATAAATGAAGTTTTGTTTTTCCCATGTAGATTTTGCTTACTTCTTCATAGGTTTATTCTTAGATTTCCCCACTGTTGCTGCTAATGTGAATGAAATCTTTCTTTACATTTACACATTTATTTTAGTTTATAGGAATCTTACTTCTCTATGTTGCCCTGCTAGCTCTCCATCTTACTGAACTCTTTTCTAATACTTAATATTTTACAGTTGTCTTATATTTTCCAGGTAAACAATGACATCACTTGTCTTAATTTCTTTTTTTCCAATTTCATACCTTATTTATCTTGCTTATTATTACACTGGGTCCAAAATTCTCAGGACAATGTTGACTTGCAGGACTGACAGTAGATAACCTGGACTATTAACATTAAATGTGCTGTTTATTTGTTCCTTCAGTTAAGTAAGCTTCCTTTTATTACTTAATATGAATTTTATCTTCTTTTTGAATAAGTAATAGATGCTAACTTTTCAAGTGATTTTTCAGTATCAATTAAGATCATATAGTTTTTCTCCTTTATTAGGAAATTTTCATTGCTATACTGTCTGTTAACCCATCCTTGTACTGGTAGGATAAACCCAACTTGGTTATGACATTATTCTCTAAATGCACTGTAGGCTTTATAGTTCCCTTAGGATAGCTGTATATACATTGATAAGTGAGACTGAGATGTAAGTTTTTTTCCCCTCCCTCTCCTTATTTATGATACTTCATAGTGGGAAAGTATTCCATTCTTTCTGCTTTGTTCTTGGTAACTTTTGTCAGAGCTACATAGGTCATTCTTTTATGATTATCAGCTTATTAAGGTTTTCTAACTTGAACCATTTTTTTTTTGAAATTTACATTTTCCTAGAAAATTATACATCATTTTTCAGGACTATTAGTGTAATTTTACACTAAATCATTTCTGATTTTAAAAAACCCTCATAATCAGTAATATGTTGCCTTTGTTTCCAGTATTGTTTTCGCTCCTTCCTTAGATTTGCTAAGTGTCTATTTATTGTTTTTTTTTTTTTTTTCAAATACCAGCTATTATTGGGATCAATTTATTTCCTAGTCCATTTGTTTCTGCTTTATTTTTAAATCCTTTAAAATTAATGAGGGCATTTTACTTTTTCTACTTTTCTTCTGTTTCTTTTTCTAATCCTTCCTGTCATGTCTAAGGATGTGCTGTCTCCTTCCCTCATGAGTTTATCCATACAACAAAGCAAAAATGAAGCCTTTACCATTATTATACAAGTGGCTACAACCACTGTATTAATTTGGAGTCAGTCATAGTGGGCTCCAACTCCCCACCTAGTTATGTGATCTTGGCCAAATCTGAGCAGTTTCTTCATCTGTAAAAACAGGAATAATACAGGTTAAGTTTGAAACTATTTGCAAGTCACTTAGCACAGTAACTGTCCCATATTAATAATTCAACAGATGTCTGTTAAATTACTAATTCCCAAATCCCTTCCAACTGTAAAAAACTTTACTTTCAGTCTATCACTTCATCCACCAGAAAATCAACTCAAAAATCCACCCACTCACCCACACAAGTTAGTAGGCCCTTCCCGCCTTGAACCAAGTATTCTAGATGTCAGGAACTCCAAGATGAATAATGAAAGTCTCTACCTTCCAGAACTCAGAGTCCTTGAGGGGTAGGGGTAAGGATCAACTGTTAAACAAGTAATTATAATACAATTGATAAGTGTTTGATATAAAGGTTGTGGGAATTCAGAGGCTTTGAGGAGTATGTGCAGCAAAATCAAAGATCTAGGTAGAAACCCTAATTCAGGTACTTATTACTTACTAGCTGTGTATTCTCAGGCAATTAACTTTGCACTTTATTTGTAAAAAGCAAAAGTAATACTATGCTGGTAGGTTATATTAAGGATTAAGTAACAAATATGATGAAGTACTTAATACAGTGCCATACCCATCATATGAACTCAACAAATGGCAGTTAGTAATATTACAAGAGGCTATGGAACTTAAAAAAAGGCACTGTATTTCAAGAGAGAAAAAATGGGGTCAGGGGAATTTCCCAAATGTGTTCACAGCACAAAACCTGTGGCGAGGCACAGGTCCGGGGGTAGAGGGACTGAGTGAAAAAGCTGAAGGATCTAGTACAGATTGGTAGTCACAAAATAGTTACAGGAATGTTAAGCACAGCATAAGGAATATAGTCAATAATACTGTAATAACTATGTACGGGTCAGGTGGACACTAGAAATATCAGGGGTATTATTTGGTAAAATATATGACTGTCTACCTCCACACTGTACACCTGAAACTAATACAAAATAATAATGAATGTAATTGAAAAATAAAATTTAAAAAGTTTTGTAGCAAAAAAAACCACAACAACAACAACAACCAAGGTAACAGTAACAACAAACCCTGTGGCAAAACAATAAAGATGGGAAAAAAAACAGGGTGAGAGGGGAATCAAGCCGAGTGATGCCCTTGGAGGGCAGGTAATTTTAATTTCTGTATTCTCAGCTGCTAGTCCATTTTCATACATTTGAGCCATACTTTTACAATAAATAGTGAATGGAAGAATGCACGTTAAGCAATAGGCTTGGAGAAAAAGATCTGGACTAAACGGTTGAAAGTAAATATTTTACCGTGAAAGGAATCTTGGATTTGAAGTCAGAAAACCTGAAGCAATCTTTTGACTAATGACCTGCATTTTTACACTGGCTCTACCACTTACCTGCTGTTTGGCCTGAGCAAAAGACTGGCACCTTCAATCTCCTCACCTGTAAAATAGGGATAGCACCTACCTTACCAAATTAGTGTGAGAATTAAGTACCAAGCGAGCGATTTTCAAAGGGCCGGGCACTAGTAAGCACTCAATGATACCGGCTGCAGCTGCTAACTTCTTCGCTAGGTCTTTTTCCATATTTGTGAGAAGTAAGGGTTAAGAAGAGCTTTTCTTCAACATTCCCAACCTGCACTGAAAAAAATTACACTTGGTTTGCCAAGGACGAAAGGCCCCGCCCGGCACGCGCCACACAGGTCACCTACGCAGACGGCAGTCCTGGGGCCTCCACCCGAGCGCGGGGCCCGGAGGCCGCGGACCACGCCAGCCGTTACAGAGCCGGGGCCAGATCAGGCTGGGCGTGGGCCCGAGCGGAACTTCACCGAAAACGGGTCTCTGCCACCATCCGATTCGTCTGCAGGCCAAGCCTTGCAAAGGGTGAAGGGAAGGAAGCCGGAAGTGACGCCAAGCCGCAAGGAACCGGAAATGACCCTCGCATGCCGGAAGCCGGAAGTTTATTCGTTTCCAAGGCGACGTCTCCTTCACCGCTCCGACCCGGCGGCCGGAGTCGGGACGCTGGAACGCTCCTTTGAGGAGAGGGTCCCCGTCGACGGCGGCCGCCACCTTAGCGACTCGCGGGGGGACACAGCCAGGGACGGCGGCCGCCGCGCCGGCCCTCTCGTGTGGAGGACAGACGGCCGACCCAGTCACCGCGGCGGCCAGCTTGAGGAAAGAGGGAGTGAAGACCAGGAGTTTTGTCTCAGCGAAGACACGGAAACAATCGGCGAAGAGGACGACGGCCACTGCAGCGTCTCTCCGGGACGAGTGAGAGAGGACGGGGGCCTCTCCAGAAGGGACCCGAGAAGGGTCCTTGAAGACCTGGGCCGCCGCCGCGGTGGTTCCCCTGAGACAGTCAGGGGAGACGGTGGCCACGGTCATAGCAGCTCGTGGGAGAGTGTGAGGGGAGACCGCGGCTTTCCTAGCACCGACGCCGGTCTCCGTCAGGTCGGCGGCGCCCAGAGCAGTGACTCTAGGGGAGCCGTCGGAGAAGCCGGAACCAGCGACTTCGGGGAGAGGGGCAGCGACGAGCTCCACCGCCGCCTCAGCGGCTCTTGGGGAGGAGGGAGCGTGGATGACGGCCCCAGCTTCAGTAGTTCCTCGGAAGGAGTGAGTGACGACCGCGACTACGCGGCCAGCGACTCCTCCGGGGTGAGCAGCGGCCGAGGCTACAACCACCGCCTCAGGGGCTTCTGGGAGAGAGAGAGTGCGGACGGAGGGCCCCGCGGCGGGGGCTCCTGGGAGAGGGCCGGGGAGGACCGCGGCCCCGGGCCCGGCGAGGACGAAGACGGCCGCTGCAGGGGCTCTTGGGGGACAGCGAGTGAAGACCGCCGCAGCAGCAGGGGCCAGGATTCGCCTCCCCCTCGGCGCCCGTGGGATCGCACCATGCCCGGGGTGCCCCCTTCGGGCCCCTCCGCTTCCTTCACGGAGTCGGCAACCCCGTGTGAGTCCGGTTAATTGCCTTCGACGACCCTCGTCGCTGCCGCGCGCCCTCTCGCACTTCTGCCCGCATCAGCCTTGCCTTTTCTGGCCGTTCCCTTTCTCCGCTGTCACTCCTCTTTCCGCCTAAGTGACCTGTTTTCAGTAGGTCCCAGACCCAGACCTTCCTCATTTTAGCTTTACTCCATTTCTTTCCCTCTGCACATTCCCGAAACTTCTCGCCCAGGGATGTCCGCGCTTGTTAAATCTTATAAACCCTTTTAAGTTCTTACTTGATTTCTCTGAAGCATTTGACCCTGTGGAGATGACATTAGACTGACCTGGTTTTCTTCTTCCCACTCTGCTGACTCTCCCTTTTCTTGGCTGACTTTTCTTCCATCCTCTCCTTAAATGTTGCTTCTCTCTCTCCCTCCCGCCCCCCAGTGCCATCGCTGGCGCTTTATGTTATGTACAATGACTTCAGCCCTACTGAGGACTTCCAAATCTGTGTTATTCATTCAACCATCCAGTAAATATTTATTGAGTGCCGAATATGTGCTCTGTCTTAAGGATATTAAGGCAGGCATATTCCTTACCTTCTACTGGGGAAGATAAATACTGAGCAAATAATGACTAGTGTGATGAATATTATAAAGAAGAGTAGAGTGCCATTGGTTCCAGTTTACGGGCATCAGAAAAACCTACCTAACGCTGGGCACATCTACTACTGAGATCTGAACTCCAGATTTCTCCTCTGAGCTGCAGACTCATGTAGAAGTCCCTTCTGGAACTCTTCTGGGGCACCTTAAAATCCACATGTCTGCAGTGTAATTTTGGCCCTGGCTGGGTGATTCAGTTAGTTGGAGCGTCATCCTCTACACCAAGCATGTCAAACTCAACGGCTAACAAGGTTTAAGTTTATGTGGGCTGCAAAAAAACAAACGCTTCAATTTTCATAGAAACATATGTTCATTTTGATACTGAATACAAAGGACTGAACTAAATGAGTAATCGTTAACAAAGTAATAGGACATTTTAATAAAAATATTTTTTCTTGAACATTAACTTATCAGACACTGAATAACTGCACAAATTAATAAGCGTAACGTAAATAAACCTATTTCTTGTTCTCCGAAAGTGAAATATTTCCTGTTGCGCACACCAAACAAGTCAGTCCAAGACTAATGACATGGCAAATGGTTGCTAAAAATATTCACTGCTAGTATTCGTGGAGAGGAATGGCGTGCCTGCATGTAAGGCACGTAAGGGAAATGAATGCAATGATTATAGTAATCATTCATTAGTTCGTTATTAATAATCTATGTGTATGAAAGGCTGATATGCAAAGTGTCCCTGCAGGAGTTCCACCGGGAGCCTGGGAGTTCTATCGCTCGCTATGACATGCGCTGACCACCAGGAGGCAGAGCGAAGGAAGGCCCCTGCTGGCAGCTGGAAGGCCCCTATTGGCCCTGATCACCTACCGCCTAGGGACCCTACCCATGCATGAATTTCATGCACCAGGCCTCTAGTTATGTATAACAGGATATTGTAAATATTAAGTTACAAAATTTTTACTAAAACGTTTCTTATATACCGATATATTGGCTGGGCTGCAAAAATATTTGTTGTGGGCCCCATGCGGCCCGGGGGCCGCGAGTTTGACATGCTTGCTCTACACCAAAAGGTTGCTGGTTTGATTCCTTATCAGGACACTAGCTAGGTTTTGGTTTTGATCCCTGGTCTGGGCGTGTATGGGAGGCAACTGATTGATGTTTCTTTCTCTCTCTCTCACCACCCTTCGTCTCTTTCTAAAATCAATAAAAACATATCCTTGGGTAAAGATTTAAAAAAAAATAGCCCTAGCCTGTTTGGCTCAGTGGATTGAGTGTCGGCCTGCATACTGAAGGGTCCCTGGTTTGATTTTGGTCAAGGGCACATGCCCAGGTTGCGGGCTCCATCCCCAGTAGGAGGCGTGCAGGAGGCAGCTGATCAGTAATTCTTATCATTGATGTTTCTCCCTCTCCCTCTCTGAAGTCAATAAAAATATGTTTTAAAAATTCAAAAATAAAATAATTTTGTATCCACATGTCCTCTCTGTCCTCCAGTGTTTACTGTCTCAATTGTGCCACACCACTCAGAGAACTAAGCCAGACTCCTTGAAGTTATCCCAATACTCTTTCCTTATTTTGCCCACTATTACATCTAAATTCAGTTCAACCTGTTTTTATAGTATTTTTTGAATATTCTGTTTCCAAAGCCATTCTCTGGGTTGAGGATCTCAATCTTTCTGCTGTAGATACCATAGCTATTTTCTTACATAGTCTCCCTGAATCTCTAATGTTGCATTTTTGCTCCCCAATGAATTCCCCTCACCTGCAGCCAGTCCCATAAATCCAGCATTACAAATCTGATCATTATTAGTCTTCTGTTTAAAATCCCTCAATGATTCCCCATTTAAGTGCTTCTAGTTGTTCATGGCTCCAGTGGCTTCTGCTCTAGGTGAGCTGAGCTTAACTGTGTTTCTCTGTATCTGCCCATCTTTCCAGATTCAGGGTGGTAGTTTGCCGAGACCTCAGTTCTCTGATCAGTCTAAGAAAAGTTACTGGTTTTCAGTTTGTTTTCTCCTGTGTATAAGGGAATGATACTTCCATGCTTTTTAGACATTAGAACTGAAATGGAAGTCTGATTAAGAAGATGTTAATCATACACATCTTTGTATTAAATTATTTGGAAAGTCAAAGTGATTTTGTGCTTTCTTTTGTCTTATTGCTTTAGTCTTCTTCTATTTTTTGGCATTGTAATACATTTTAAGCAATTTGATTTTTCAGTAGGCGCCAGGAAGAAGGTGCATTTTAGTAGCATACATGATGCAGTACGCGCTGGAGATGTAAAGCAGCTTTCAGAAATAGTAGAACGTGGGGTCAGCATTAATGAAGTTGATATTCTCCATAAATTTACCCCTTTACATTGGGCAGCACATTCTGGAAGTTTGGAGGTAAGCTAAATAAAACTGGGATAAGTTTACAACTGCTAGCTCTTTTATAAATTTAGCAGACAGGACTGAGGCATTGCAAATAATTTCTTTTTAAATTCAATTTATCATTAGGTGTTTTGTTTACTTAACAATGGCTTTATAACAAATTATCCCAAAACTTGGTGGCATAAAATAACCATTTATTTATGCTCAGGACTGAGCAAGGAGTTTGGCTCTCAGACACAGCTTGCCTCTGCTCCATGGTGTCTGGGGCTTCAGCTACAGATTGGAAAGCTGGGGTTGGGTCCTTCTGAAGGCTTGTTCACACAGCTATCTGGTATATGCTGGCTCTGGGTACCTTAGTTTTTCTTTGTGGGCCTATCTGTGAAGATTCTCCACCTTGCTAGTTAGTACTTCCTCACAGTGTGGTAGCTGGGTTCCAAAGGAAAGCATAAAGGGTAACTTAAAGAGGATAACAGAATGAATACCTCGTTCTCTTAAATCTTAATGTTTTTTGCTATAGTTGCTTCAGATTTTTAGAAAACAAATGGAATATTATAGATACATTTGAAATCCCTGAGCACCCCTCCAGGCACTATTTCTCTCCTTCCAAATCCAGAGACAACTATTACCCTGAATTTGGTGTTTATTATTCCTATCTATATTTTATGCTGTTATTGCATATGATTATATCATTGCTCTAAATGACATATTTTATATAAATGATATAACTAACATTCTGCAGCTTGATACATGTGATTAGATATATGTATGCTAGTTTATTTCTTTCAGCCATATTGTAATAGTCTATTCTTAGACTAATACGAGAATTTATTCATTTTTCCGCTGATGGATATTTAGTTGGTTTCAATTTTTAGCTAGTACAAGCATTCTTAGTGAATTTTTTAATGCAAAACTCCTTATTCTTGGACTAGATACAAAGCCAACTAAAATTTTTCTCATGATTCAAGGTTGTGTATGGAGAGCTTATTTTAACTACTACATTTCCCCAGCCTGTGGGCTGCAGTGGGTCTATTCACTATGCAGACTTTCCCCCCTGCTACACAGGCAGAGACTGCTTTCTATGAATATGGCTTCTTTGTGTGATTTCTTGTTTGTTTGGGCTTCTCTGCTTCTTGGAACCAAATCTGGTTTGGAGAATCTTTCTCCACCAGGCTGTGTGCCTCACTTGAATTGTTGTAAACAAGGATTTCCCTTTGGCCTTTTAGTGAATTCCTCTCAGCTGGCAGAAATGTGCCTTGATGGCTCTTTCTGCACATACAGCCCTGGGTGGGGATTTTTTCTTCTGTTTCCTCCCACAGCCCTCTTTGATCTATAATTTGGCAGCTTTCCCATCTGTTTTTGTGGTTTGAGTTTCAGATGTCTTCTACTTTCATCAAAGATGGGGTTTTCTCCCTGTTTTTCTTTCTTTTTTTTGGATAACTTTGAAGAGATGAAATACTGATTTTACTCTGCCATATTCCAATAGAATAGGACTTCTTGATATACCTTTATTTAATCTATTTCCTGGTATCCTTTCAGCTTCTCTGATTGCTCTCACTTAGGCTTCTTTGGTTAACCTACCCTACCTAAAATATAAAGATAGGTATTTCTATGATTCTGCCTTCTCTCTCCAGGCAGTTTTTTAGACTTCATTGGCTTTATCATCTATATGCATAAAAGCCTAAGCGACTGAACAACCCGTTGACTGGTCTCTATGATGTGCATTGACCACCGGGGGCAGACGCTCAATGCAGGAGCTGTCCCCCTGGTGGTCAGTGTGCTCCCACAGCAGGAGCGCTGCCCAGTGGCGTGAGCCTCTCCTGCTTTCCTGGCAGCGCTACCAAGTGGCGGCAGCCGCAGGCACAGTGGGGTCGGGATGAGCAGGAGCAGCGGTGCCCAGCCCGGGCTCAGGCTCCTCCCTGGCACCTGCCGCTGAGCACACTACTACATCCCCAAGGGGTCCCGGATTGCGAGAGGGCGCAGGCCAGGCTGAGGGACCCCACTGGTGTACGAATCCATGCACCAGGCCTCCAGTGTCTACATAAAATGCATGGTTTTGCTTCCTCTCCTTAATCCCAGTTTGTATATTGTGCCTGATCAACAGCTCATGCCTATCTGACTAGCATTTCAAATTTAGTTGCTATAAAACTAAGCTGTTATTCTTTTCTATCCCTTTCTTAGTTTTTTCTCAATTTCTTTTTCACCACCTTAAGTATTTGTTTAATAACAACCTCAGGAAAAAACCCCACAGAACTAATATAAAAATATTGTCAGTTGGTGCTCATTGTAATATACAATACAAAGAAATTAATTTCCTCAGAAATCTGAGAAGCACCAAATGTGACCTGTTTTGAAAAGTTTGCTTGAGTTGTCTCAATTTTTTACAGAAGCAGTACACATCGACATTTGTGTAGTTGAAGGTGCCCTACATGGTGCACATTGATGCAGTAGGAACTGGTCACTAGGTCCTTTGATTCTATTCCATCTTTGTCTTTTGAATTTGTACTCTTCATCCTCATAGCCACTGCCTTAAATCTAATAGATTTTCTTGATTTTTGTCTTGTCTATCTCTAGTTCATATTCTGTATACAAAGTTACCACTCTAAAAACTAAAATCTGATATTACTTAACTCCTACCTATAGGATAAAGTTCAGACTAATTAATACAGTAGACATATTTCCAATCTCATCTCCCAACATATTTGGACATTTTGAAACTAGACATTTTAGATTATATATTGTGGCAACTCTGGAGTCTGATCCTACTCCTTCACCCCTACCCAGGCATGGTTGTTCCTGTGTGTTTATTTACTCGCCTAAAGTAATTTTGTGGAGTCTGTTTTCCTAACAGTGTGTGGCCACTGCTCAGTTGTTCCCTCTTTTAATTCTTGTTTTTATTTTTCAGCCTGGCTTCCTAGGGTTCACCCATGGGCCTGCATAGTTTAGTGGTCAGCCAGTGACTTATGAGAGCATGTGCTTAAATACCGTAAGGATTTAATCTTTTACTGATGGGTCTGTGTGGAGATTGTTTTCAAAATTCAAGCAGCTTACAAGCCAGCCCTAACATCTTTTTAAAAAAATATGTTTGCAAGGAAGGCCTCATGTTTAGCCAGGGATATCTTGTCAACTTAGTCCCTCTTCAGTCTTATCTGGGTCTGAGCAGCCTTGTACATGCACACAGCCTTTTAGATCACAAGGGATAAATGGAATCTTAGTAAGGACCACTTTGGCCATCTCATTTTTTGGAATTTCCCATTAATTTTCTGGGTAGTCTTTAGTTTTGTGCATGCCCCAACCAGTATCATGGCTTTAGGCTAGCTCTGATGTTGGCTTTCTTGGATTGTTCTGAGGAGCAGAATTGTTTTTGACAATGTGTCTGGGCGTGGAATTTTATGTGTTCAGCTCCTAATAAAGTCAACCCCTCCAGCAGAGCAGTGGAGCTGTCCACCTAGTAGATCTCGGCACCATGCAGCAGGGACAGGCGAAGCTGTAGTTTCAGTCTCCTGTTCTTACTGAGATTCAGTAGATTTTCTCATATATATGCTTCTCATTTTATTATATGCCTTTGGTCAATTTCTAGTCTTTAAATTGTTGTTTTTGACAACTTTGTCTAGTTTTATCATTGCTTCTCAGGGAGGATTTGCCAAGCTCCTTATTTACCCATTTCTGAATTCCTGCTTATTTTTCCATTGATTTTTGATAAGGGTGAACATGTAATCTAATGGAGAACAGATATTAATTTCATTAAATGGTGCTGGCATAATTGAACATTCATATGTAAAAAGAACAAACCTTGACTCATACCTGGCCCATATAGAAAAATGTACTCAAAGCAGATTATAGGCAAATTTGAAACTTAATCTTATAAAACTTCTAGAAGAAAGCATAGGAAAAAATCTCTGCAAATCATGTATCTGAACTTGTAACCAGAATAAGAGACTCACAACTCTAGTAAAAAAAGAAAAAAAACAAAACACAACAACTAAAAAACAGCAAATAACTTCAATAGACACTCAAAGATAATATAGATGGCAGTTGAATACATGAAAAGATATTCATCATCATTAGACATTAAGGAAATACAAATTAAAACCACCAAAAAATGCCACTACACTCATATTAGAATGACAAAAAAACAAACAAACAAACAAAAACAACCCCCCACAGATAACTCAAGAAATGACAGTATAAAGTATTGGCAAGGATATGTAATAAATGGAACTCTCATACATTGCTGGCAGAAGTATAAAATGATACAGCCACTTTGGAAAACAGTTTGGCAGTTTCTTATAAAGTTGAATATACTTATCTGTGTTCTAGCAATCTCGCTTCCACATACTAGTATTTACCTAGAACAATTAAAAAAACCTGTACATGAATGTTTATAATGGTTTTATTCCAGTATCTAAACAGTGTTAGTACATAGTAGTGTACACACAAATATTTGTTGAATAAATGAATTATTTACAGTGATTATTAGTGAAGTTGAACTTTTAAAAAAATATATTACTGGCCACTAATCTCTGTGACAGGCAAATGATACCTATTGGTAAGCTTTCAACAAATGATAGGGCTGTGATTCCAATGATAGTCAATTTTTTACAAAAGAAACTTCTTGAAGGTAGAGTCTACAAACTTGAACATATAATGACAGTAATACATCTTAAATGAAGATGCATTTGATTCCCACCACCCCCCTTTTTATATAAACCTCTTTTTAGAGAATATCATCAGAATAACAAAGTTTGCCTTGATACAGAAGTTTCTCGATCCATTCAAAATCTATGAAAAAACAACAAAACAAAAAATAAAATCTATGGCAGAGGTTGCAAACTAGTAGTCCTTAAGCGAATTTGGCTCACACATATGTTTTTTGTTTGGCTTGTACAGTATTGGTCAAACATAAGATTTGGATCAGCACTTTAGTCACAGCAACAACTGGCTGGAATTGAGTGGCATCTGCACCTTATTGACAAGGAATGGCATCTCCAGTTTGTCACAATCCCTACTGCTATTGTTTACCCAACAGTAAGGCCTGATGTTGGTGTCCTGTCATTGTGCTTGTGCTTACACCTGGCTCCCTCATTCACTTATGATGTTTCTCAGGCTGCAGTACTTCTGGATGACAGACTAAATTTCAAAGACATAAAAATGTTTAAAACATCTATCTTATCACTTATTAACATGGTTATTTTCTTAACTTAGTGTCTTCATTGGCTCCTCTGGCATGGAGCTGATATTAAACAAGCAACTATGAGAGGCTGGACAGCAGCTCACATAGCTGCAATCAGGGGTCAGGATGCTTGTATGCAGGTAATAATTTTGTTTATTTTTAAAAATTCAATAAGTTTACTTTAGCATAGTTTGTTAAGCTGTTGCTTTTATTCTAATAATTTGATCCTATAGATTTACTTCTAAATAAGAACTTACTGGATTCCATGTCTTAGATATTTTGGTATCAACTATCCACTTAAGCAAATGATATATGAGAAGAGGCCCTTTTATCTTCAAAGTAGTTGATTATCTGTCTAGATTGTTTTAAGGGATGTCACATTCATGCACAGATTATCTCCTTTATAGCTTTCCATGCCTAAAATTCCTTATTTAATGTGTTTCCTAGCCAGAATAGCACATTAATATGTGACAGCTACTCTAATTTATTAATAATTTATTAGAGTAGCCGGATTTAATCAGTGTACAAGAGACTGGAATTTGGAGAAATACAAAATCATATAAGCAAACACTTCTTGCCTATAAGAAACCTGAGACTCTGTTTGGAATGATAGGAGCTCTGCTCAGTGCATTACAAAGCAATACAAAGCACATTTTATGATTAAGGTTTTAATAAAAAGTACAGATGAGAAGAATTATAGAACTTAGCTGGAGTTAGAGAAAGTATAACTGGAGGAAATGCAATTTCAGCTAAGCCTAAGCCTAAAGGAATGGGTTGATTTTAAAGAGGTAAGTAGTAAAGAAGCATTATTGGTAGGGAATATGTCAGGAGCAAATAAAAATAATGATGATCATTTATTGAACATTTTTAATGTGTCAAATCAGTCTCCTATGCATCACCTCATTTAATACAATACTCTTATGAGTTCCACTTTTTATAGATTAGGAAACAGATTCAGAAAGTTAAGTACCTTGCTAAATAAGTGACAGAGCCATTACAAAGAATATAAAGACTTATTTACATAGGGAATTAGGGCTGCCTTGACTGTCCTTCTCTTTCTCAAGGTGACCTCTCCCTTCTCAGAGCAGGTGTGATGCCTTTTTTGTACTATACTGTTTAGTGCTTGCTTATCAAGGACAGCTTTGTATAGTTGATTATCTTTGTCTCTCCACAGCCCTAATTCCCTATGTTAATAAGTCTTTATATTCTTTGTAATGACTTTTAAAACATAGTAAGCACTCAATATATGGTTTGTGATGATCATTAACTAGTTTGTTAATGTGAATCAGACAAGATCATGATGGTTATTCTACCTAAAACTTTTTTTTTTAAAAAATACATTTTTATTGATTTCAGAGAGGAAGGGTGAAGAAGAGATAGAAACATCAATGATGAGAGATAATCATTTGATGGGCTGCTTCCTACATGCCTCGTACTGGGGATTGAGTCCAAAACCCGGGCATATGCCCTTGACTGGAATTGAACCCGGGACCGTCAGTCCGCAGCCCTGATGCTCTATCCACTGAGCCAAACCAACTAGGACACTAGTAATTTTTTAAAGCAATTACTCTGTACGTTAAATAGGGAGATGTACTTGTATCTGATGTAACCCATATACAGAAACTGGGCCAATTGTAAATTCAGATAGAATCTTCTCAGATGTAGTTAGAACTTTGATTTGGAGCTTAGAACTAGTTACTTTAATAATGAAATCCTTTTATTCTATCCAAAACCAAGTTAATAAAAGATTCTGTTTTGAAAAAGTGGAAGTTTAAATTTCAGTTTTACTAGCTTAACATTGAAGTATTTAACTTAGTGGTTATGGATCAGTGCTCATGAAAAGTGCGCTTTATAAATTGTATGTCCATGCTCAAATCAGATTGTGAAATCAGGTATTATAAATATCTCCTGGGCAGTGTTAAAAAGGATCCCAAACATTTTGTTTGGATTAGCTAAGAACTTCTCACACTTTGCCCGTGGCACATATGTAAGAACATAGCAATTACGTAGGTCCGTGGTCGGCAAACTGTGGCTCGTGAGCCACATGTGGCTCTTTGGCCCCTTGAGTGTAGCTCTTACACAAAATACCACATGCGGGCACGCGTACGGTGCGATTGAAACTTCGTGGCCCATGTGCAGAAGTCGGTTTTCGGCCTGGGCGAGTCTATTTTGAAGAAGTACTGTTGATATTTGGCTCTGTTGACTAAAGAGTTTGCCGACCACTGACTAGGTTAATAAATTGCTTGCCTTTAAATAATCTGCAACTACATTTATGATTTAACATAAACTCATTCTTATTTCTCCATTTTTAGGCTCTTATAATCAATGGAGCAAATTTGGCAACTAAAGATGATCGTGGTTGCACTCCTTTACATCTTGCTGCGACACATGGACATTCTTTCACTTTACAAATAATGCTCCGGAGTGGAGTGGTGAGGGATTCCTGTTAGTATGTGAGGATGTATAACCATATAAATGAAATAGCATTTGGTAGCCCAGTTATCTCTTCCTGACTTTTTAAATATCCTTTATGACTTTAGGGAAGTAATTTGATCTCTCTCTTTAGCTTTTCCATCTTTAAGCATAGGAGTAATAATTTAGATAATCTTCAAAAAACCCCAAAACACCCAGTTAGTAGTGTAAACTATTTCAGAGGCTATGGGGTTCTTCATATCAACTCAGAGTTTAACTGGGAAGATTCTGAAGCTTCTAAACATATGTTAACCAATGATTGTAAGTCTTTCTGAATTTCTGTGTATAACTCTTATTTCATACTAGTGGCCTGGTGCACGGATTTGTGCACATTGAAAGGAAGTTAATTAGAAGACATATTTTAATATCGCTATTTGCCCTTTCTCTATAATAGAAGTGTCAGAGATGAAAGAAAATTAGTAAATTGTATATGAAAATACATTAATAAATTGATTAATAATAATAACATGATATAAAAACAACAAAGACATTATAAAACAACAAAAACATATAAAAACAATATTGAGGAGAAACCAAGATGGCGGCATAGGTTAACGCCGGAGATCGCTGCCTCAAACAACCACTTCAGAGATATAACTAAAGGACAGAACGGACATCACCCAGAACCACGGGAAGGCTGGCTGAGTGGAAATTGTACAACTAGGAGGAAAGAGAATATCATACCCAGACTCAGAGGAGGCGCAGTGCTGAAGTGAAATACTCAGGTGCGGAGTGTGCGCGCGGAGCGGGCTGGCGGCGGAGGGCGCGGTTGTTGTTTTCAATCGGGAGGGAGTTTCAGACTCTGAGCTCCAGATCCGGGCGAGTCTCTGGGGACCGAGACTCAAACGGGAGAAACGGGGCTGTCTGGCTTCGGTCGGAACTCGAAGGCAGCTTTCTCTCCGAGGCTTGCAGCCATTGCTGGGGCTCTGAGAGGCAGAGCCCCTGGGGAAGGAACTGAGAGTCGCCATAACTGCTTGTTCCGCCCGCCCTGTAGATCCCCGGGGACCCGCCCCGCCCAAGCCCTGCACAGAACCATTTGCCGGATAGCCTCAGGCAAACGCTAGATTAGCATCGCCCTAGAGATCCAGCACAGAAGCCCTCCCACTACAGACACAGCAGACTCTCATAGCCAGTTAGCCTGGAGGTCAAATCACCCCGATATTGCCGACATCAATCAAGGCTTAAAGGCAACAAGACTGCGGACAAAGACCACTAGGGGGTGCACCAAGAAAGCATAAAAAATGCGGAGACAAAGAAACAGGACAAAACTGTCAATGGAGGATATTGAGTTCAGAACCACACCTTTTAAGGTCTCTTAAGAACTGTCTAGAAGCTGCCGATAAACTTAGTAAGGCCCTCGAAAAGACTGGTGAGACCGCCGATAAATGTAGTGAGATCCTCAAGAAATCTAATGAGACCCTCGATGTTGTGATAAAGAACCAACTAGAAATTAAGCATACACTGACTGAAATAAAGAATATTATACAGACACCCAACAGCAGACCAGAGGAGCGCAAGAATCAAGTCAAAGATTCGAAATGCGAAGAAGCAAAAAACACCCAACTGGAAAAGCAAAATGAAAAAAGAATCCGAAAATATGAAGATAGTGTAAGGAGCCTCTGGGACAGCTTCAAGCGCACCAACATCAGAATTATAGGGGTGCCACAGGATGAGAGAGAGCAAGATATTGAAAACCTATTTAAAGTGCCGAAACCGGTTTGGCTCAGTGGATAGAGCGTCGGCCTGCGGACTGAGAGGTCCCAGGTTCGATTCCGGTCAAGGGCATGTACCTGGGTTGCGGGCATATCCCCAGTGGGAGATGTGCAGGAGGCAGCTGATCGATGATTCTCTCTCATCGATGTTTCTAACTCTCTATCTCTCTCCCTTCCTCTCTGTAAAAACCTATTTAAAGAAATAATGACAGAAAACTTCCCCCACCTGGTGAAAGAAATAGACCTACAGGTCCAGGAAGTGCAGAGAACCCCAAACAAAAGGAATCTAAAGAGGACCACACCAAGACACATCATAATTAAAATGCCAAGAGCAAAAGACAAAGAGAGAATCTTAAAAGCAGCAAGAGAAAGAAACCCAGTTACCTACAAGGGAATACCCATACGACTGTCAGCTGATTTCTCAACAGAAACTTTGCAGGCCAGAAGGGAATGGCAAGAAATATTCAAAGTGATGAATACCAAGAACCTACAACCAAGATTACTTTATCCAGCAAAGCTATCATTCAGAACGGAAGGTCAGATAAAGAGCTTCACAGATAAGGAAAAGCTAAAGGAGTTCATCACCACCAAACCAGTATTATATGAAATGCTGAAAGGTATCCTTTAAGAAGAGGAAGAAGAAAAAAAAAGGTAAAGATACAAATTATGAACAACAAATATGCATCTATCAACAAGTGAATCTAAGAATCAAGTGAATAAATAATCTGGTGATCATAATAGAATCAGGGACATAGAAAGGGAATGGACTGACTATTCTTGGGGGGGAAAGGGGTGTGGGAGATGCGGGAAGAGACTGGACAAAAATCGTGCACCTATGGAAGAGGACAGTGGGTGGGGAGTGAGGGCGGAGGGTGGGGCGGGAGCTGGGAGGAGGGGAGTTATGGGGGGAAAAAAAAAGAGGAACAAATGTAATAATCTGAACAATAAAGATTTAATTAAAAAAAATATTGATACAAACAATGACTGATAAATTGCTTAAACTTATTCTAGTATCTCCCTATATACCACATTAAGAGTAAAAACATTTTCAGAGTGCTTGACTAATTTCCCTTGTGATGAAATATTTACAGCTCTAATGTTACATACTCTTCAAACTCGAGAGAAAGCAACATATAACTGACCATGTCTGAAAACGGGTTCAGGTAGGAATATTCCTACTCTGTCTAGAGTTTGTCCTTGTGATTTATTAATGGTCATCGCAAATGCTGGCATTATGGGAAACTGTCTTCAAATTAATTTAAATGGGAGGCCAGTGTCAGATGGGGACAAATATTGCGCATGCGCTAGTCAATATTTATTTTTAAATTGCCAGTGTGCATCATATGTACCAGCTGGTCACTTGGCCGGTTGGACGAACGGACGGTCAGTCACTTAGCCTTTTTATTATTATAATCTATATATATAAAAGGCTAATATGCTAAGTGTCCATCTGGGTAACAACGTCACATAGCAACACTTGGCTTCCTCTCCCTAGTGACTGGCCTCCTTCAGTTTCTTCAACCCAGGAATATGACTCGCTTTATAGCAGGTGGAAACATTTTACACTTCAACCAAATATCTGCGAAGCATTTTCCCATGCCTTATCTCATTTGATCTTCACAGAAGTCCTGTAGTAGATAGATAGCAGACTCTGTAGAATCCTATTTTTTTTTCTTTATTGATTAAGGTATTACATATGTATCCTTATCTCCTATTAACCCCCCACCTCCCACTCATGCCCTATTTTCTTTTCCTTAGCCAGAAAATGGAGATTTAGAAAGCTTAGAAACTTGACCCAACTGAAAAGAAGTAAGAAATGGTGGACCTTGAAAATGACTTCAGGTTTTCTCACTGCGTAGAATATAGTCAAACACTGCTGCAGTTAAATATTTTACCCTTTGTTCTCCCTGCATGATCTACAATAATAATCTGCTTCAGTTTGATATTTACTGCTGTGTTGCTGACAATTACCTGAAAGAGAAGTTGGGGTGCTTCACTGGCTGGAAAAAGTTTAGCTAAATCAGAAAGCAGGTCTAATTAAGCAATTTTATTATATATATATGTGTGTGTGTATGTATATAGATAGATAGATATATATACATATATCTATCTATATATATGGCTAAGTTGACTTGTGCATGCGCACTACATATAAAGCTCTCTCTGGTGCCAATCGCACGTGTGTGTTTTGATCTGTCATTGTCAGTTGTGAATTTGGTTGATAGTTCTATTATAGAGAAAGGGTGAATAGTGATATTAAAATATTCTAATTAATTTCCTTTCAATGTGCACGAATTTGTGCACTGGGCCACTAGTGATTTATATCTCCAGAAATTTCATTTATTACATTTGTTTTTAATATTACCCAATGGTTGTAAAAAATAACTTCTGATAAGAAAATAACTACCTATATTGTAGTCATTATTGTAAGAATTGGTATTTCTATAGAGAAAAAGTAAAAAATCTTAGTATTTTTTCATTAACTCTTTTTTGTTTGTTATTTGCTTTTGTTAATCCTCATCCGAGGATATATTTTTTTCCTATTGATTTTTAGAGAGAATGGAAGGGTGGGGTAGAGACAGAGAGAGAAACATTAATATGAGAGAGACACATTGATTGGTTGCCTGACTATTTTATAAAATTTCATTAGTATGTTATTAGCTTGCGTGTTCAAATCAGTGGTTTCAGTACATTTTTCTTTTATATTTAGTGTTTGCCTTATAGTTTTAAGAACAACATCCAGTTCTTAATTGCTGAGTTAAACTGCTACACTAGTGTTTCCCCTACAAAATGGAAAGAAACTTAGTCCTTGTGAATGTTACCTCTAGGATCCCAGCATAACTGATGTGAGAGAATGGAAACCTGTACATTATGCATCTTTTCATGGACGACTTGGCTGTTTGCAACTTCTAGTTAAATGGGGATGTGGCATAGAAGATGTGGACTACAATGGAAACCTCCCAGGTATCCATAAAAGCAAATATTTTGGATTTTCATTAATGTAAGCTTTTAAAATATTGATCATGTTTTAAGAAATTTAAACTGTCATCATGCTAATAGTTCCTCACAAAATATAAGTAGTAAGTATGTTAGCATGAACATTTTTTAAAATCTTATATTACTCCTATATTGTGTGCCTGTCATGTGACCAATTTATTTTTCTGGAATGATATCAGCAAAACATAAATTGCCAAAATTAAACTTGGATTTTCTCTTCTAGCTAGTTGTTTCCTTCGTCTACTGTGTAGAGTTATTATTTTTTTAGCTTTATACATCTCTGTCCCACAGACTACTGTATTTTTTTTAATGTGTTTATTGATTTTTAGAGAGAGGAAGGGAGAGAGAGAGAGAAACATCGATTTGTTGTTCCACTTATTTATGCAGTCATTGGTTGCTTCTTTATGTACCCTGACCTGAGGTTGAACCCACAACCTTGGCATATTGGGACGATGTTCTAACCAACTGAGCTACCTGGCCAGGGTCCGCACAGACTGCTTTTAAAAAAGTATAAATAGTGGACACTAGTGTATATGAGTTAATTTGCTAACTGCACCTGCAATCAACTGGCCAGTTGAGATCTATATTCTAAACACTGTGTCTTCTAAGAGCTGCTATAGAAATTCATAAAAGGGGTAGGTTACAGTGAGATTAGAGTGAAGGTTACTAAAATGATACTTGAATTATGTCTTAAAGGAATTTTTAGCAAACAAATGAATTGGAAGTCTATGCAGAATTATATGAACAGGTTTGATTCAATCTCTTTGCTTCTTAAAATACCCTAGTTCCCTGTGGAGCTCTGATTCCTTACCTTAGCATGCTGGGTCTTCATTATTTGGCTTTTACCTATCTACCTCCCTGCCCTCACCTCCACTCCTTTACTCTGGTGTATGTAATCATTTTGCTTCTTTCTTTCTTTCTTTTTTTTTTTTTAATTGATTTCAGAGAGAGAAAGGAAAAGGAGAAAGAGGTAGAAACATCCATGATGAGATAGATTTATTACTCGGTTGCCTCCTGCACACCTCCTACTAGTGATCAAGCCCACAACCTGGGCAGACCAGGTATTGAACCATGACCTCCTTGTTCATAGGTCAACACTCAACTACTGATCCACACTGATCGGGCTGAAGTACACCCTTTAATGTTCATTTAGTGAAGGTCTGTTGTATAAAAATTTCAGTTTTTGTGTATCTGTAAATTATTATTTTACTCTCATTCTTTTTAAAAATAATTTTTGAATAAAGTTTTAGAAATAAATTTGTGTATATGGCGTAACAAAGCATCCAGTTTCATTTTTTGCATGTATATGCCCAGTTTTCCCAACAACATTTATTGAAGAGATTGTCCTTTTCCCCTTGTATATTCTTGACTTCTTTGTCATAGATTAATTGACCACATAAGTGTGGGTTTATTTGTCTGTTCCGTTGATCTTTATGTCTTTTTTGTGCTAGTACTATACTGTTTTGGTTTCTATGGCTTTGTAGTATAGTTTGATATCAAGGAGCATGATACCTCCAACTTTGTTCTTCTTTCTCAAGATTGCTTGGGTTATTCGAGGTCTTTTGTGGTTTCATATAAATTTTAGGATTATTTGTTGTAGATCTGTGAAAAATGTCATTGGTATTTTGATAGGTATTGCATTGAATTTATAGATTACTTTGGGTAATATAGATAATTTAATGATATTAATCTTTCCAATCCCCATCCTATGGTATTTATTTGTGTTGTCTTCAGTTTTTTTCATCAAAGTCTTACAGTTTTCAGAATATAGGTCTTTTACCTTCCTGGTTAAATTTATTCCTAGGTATTTTATTCTACTTGATGCAATTATAAATGGGATTGTATTCTTAATTTCTCTTTCTGATAGTTTGTTATTAGTTGATTAAAGTCTTAAATATAAGACCTAATATCTAGTAGAAAACATAGGCAGTAAACTCTTTGACATTGATCTTAGAGATATTTTTTTGGATATGTCTCCTTCAGCAAGGACACCAAAAGCAAAAATAAGCAAATGGGAATACATGAAACTATAAAGCTTTGTATAGCAAAGGAAACCATCAACAAAGTAAAAAGACAGCCTACTGAATGGGAAAAGTTATTTACAAATGATATATTTGATAAGGTGTTAATAACCAAAATACATAACAAATTCATATAACTCAACATCAAAAGAGCCTAAAAAATCCAATTAAAAAATGGGCAGAGGACTGCAATTGACATTTCTGCAAAGAAGACTTACAGATGGCCAACAGACCTATGAAAAGATGCTCAACATCCCTAATCATCAGGGAAATAAAATATATCATACCTGTCAGAATGGCTATTATTGAAAAGTCAACCAATAACAAATGTTGTGGAGAAAAGCAAACCCGCATGCATGATTGGTGGAACTGTAAATTGGTGCACCACTATGTAAAACAGGAGGAAGGTTCATAAAAAAATTGAAAATGAAACTGCCCTATGACCCTGCAATTCCACTTCTGGTATTTACCATAGAAAATAAAAACACTGATTTGAAGATACACGCATCCATATGCTCATTGCAGTATTATTTACAATAGCCAAGATATGGAAGCAACCCAAGTGCCCATCAATAGACAAGTGGATAAAAAAGTGGTGGTACATATATACAATGGAATATTATTCAGCCATTAAAAAGAATGAAATATTGCTATTTGCAGCAATATGAATGGACCTAGAGGGTATGATGCTAATTGAGATAAGTCAGAGAAAGATAAATACCATATGATTTTACTTATATGTGGAGTCTAAAAACAAAACAAACACCAAGCAGATAAATAAAACAAAACAGAAATAGACTAATAGATACAAAGACCAAACTGATTTTGCCAGAGGGGTGGGGCTGGGGAGATGGGTGAACAAGATGAAGGAGAAAATAAGAGGTGTACAAACTTCTCTAAAGACTCCATCAAAAAACTACTAAACTTAATAAATGAATTTGGCAATGTGTCAGGATACAAAATTAACACCCAGAAAACTGTGGCTTTTTTATACACCAATAATGAACCTACATAAAGAGAAACTAAAAGACTCATTTACCATTGCAACAAAAAATTAAGATACCTAGGAATAAATTTAACTAAAGAGGTAAAAGACCTCTATTCAGAAAACTACAGGACATTGAAAAAAGAGATAGAGGAAGACATAAACAAATGGAAGAACATACTATGTTCATGGATTGGTAGAAGCAACATCATTAAAATGTCCAAAGCAATCTATAGATTCAATGCACTCCCCATTAAAATTCCAATGGCATATTTCACAGACCTAGAACAAACTCTCCAAAAATTCATATGGAATAAAAAAAGACCCCGAATAACCAAAGCAATCCTGAGAAAGAAAAACAAAGTTGGAGGGATCACAATACCAGATATCAAGCTATAATACAAAGCCACAGTTCTCAAAACTGCCTGGTATTGGCACAAGAACAGACATATAGACCAATGGAACAGAACAGAGAACCCAGAAATCTACTGAAGCCATTATGCTCAATTAATATTCAACAAAGGAAGTATGAGCATACAATGGAGTCAATACAGTCTCTGCAATAAATAGTGTTGGGAAAATTGGACAGATACCTGCAAGAAAATGAAACTAGACCACCAACTTACACCATACACAAAAATAAACTCAAAATGGATAAAGGACTTAAACATATGACGGGAAACCATAAAAACCTTAGAAGAATCCATAGGCAGCAAAATATCAGACACATGTCTTAGCAATATCTTTACCGATACAGTTCTTAGGATAATGGATACCAAGGAGAAAATAAACACATCAAAATAAACTACATCAAAATAAAAAGCTTCTGCACAGCAAAAAAAAAACAAAAACATCAACAAAACAATAAGAGAGCCCACTACATGGGAAAACATTTACCAATGTTATATACGATGAGGGTTTAATCTCCATCATTTACAGGGAACTCATACAACTTAACAAAAGGAAGATAAATGATCCAATCAAAAAATGGGCAAAGGACCTAACTAGACACTTTTTGAAAGTGGACATACAGAAGGCCAAGAGACATATGAAAACATGCTCAAAGTCACTAATCATTTGAGAGATGGAAATTAAAACAACAATGAGGTAGGTACCATCTCATACCTGTCAGAATGGTTTTCATCAACAAATCAACAAATGACAAGTGCTGTTGAGGATGCGGAGAAAAAGGAACCCTCTTGCACTTCTGGTGGGAATGCAGACTGGTGCAGCCACTGTGGAAAACAGTATGACGTTTCCTGAAAAAAATTAAAAATGGAACTCCCATCTGACCCAGTAATCCCATTTCTAGGAATATACCCCAATAAATCAGAAATACTAATCAGAAAGGATATATGTACCCCTATGTTCATAGCAGCACACTTTATAATAGGTAAGCTTTGGAATCAGCCTTAGTGCCCATGAGCAAGTGAGTGGATTAAAAAAACAGTGGTACATCTGCACTATGGAATACTGTGCTGCTGTAAAAAAGAAGGAACTCCTACCATTCGAAACAGCATGGGTGGACATGGAAAGCATTATGCTAAGTGAAATAAGTCAGTCGGAGAAAGATAAATATCACATGATCTCACTCATTTGTGGAATATAGTGAACAAAAATAGATCCAGAAGCACAGAAGCATCGAACATACTGTGAAACCTCAGAGGGAAGGCAGGGGAGTGGAAGAGGGGTGGTGGTGGTGGTTAGAGATCAACCAAAGGACTTGTATGCATGCATATAAGGGTAACCAACGGACACAGATAGTAGGAAGGTGAGGGCATGTGCTGTGGGGTGGGAGTGGCTGGGGAGAGGTCAATAGGGGAAAAAGGAGACATGTAATACTTTAAACAATAAAAAATTTAAATTAAGAAAAAGAGGTACAAACTTCTAGTTATAAAATAAGTCACAAGGGTGTAATGCACAGCATAGGGAATTTAGTCAATAATATTGTAATAACTTTGTACAAATGACATATTGTTACTAGACTTATCATGGTGATCACATCATAAGGTATATAAATGCTGAATCACTAAATTGATCACCTGAAACTCTACTTTAATAAAAAATAAGTAAAAACATTTTTAATTGAAGTATAACATGAATACAGAGAAATGCCCAATTTAAATGCACAGCTCATTGAATTTTTACAAAAGAACACTTCTCTGTAACCACTAGCCAGACTAAAAAAATAGAATAGTCTCCATATCCTCTTTTTGGTTAATCACTCCAAAATTAATCGCTACCTTGATCTGTAACATAAAATTAGTAACTTTCTTTTTCTGAACTCTATGGAATAAATTAATATATTGGCATTCCAAAGAAGACATACAGATGGCTTCTTTTGATTTTCCAAAATGGTTGTATTAATTTATATACCCATGAGCACTGTTTAAGACTTGAAGTTGCTCCACTTTCTCATTGACACTTGATTTGTTTGTTTTTAGTTTTAGTCATTCTTTTGGATGTATAGTAATATCTTGTGGTTTTAATTTGCATTTTCTCTGATAACTGCAGTTGTAGAACATCATTTCAAATACTCACTGGTCATTTGGTTATTTTCTTTTGTGAAGTACCATGTCAAATCTTTTGCCTTTTTTTTTTTATTAGGTTAGTTGTCTTTTTAAAAATCGAATTGTAGGCATTCATTATATATTCTAGATCAGTGATTTTCAATTGGTGTGCTGTGGCACACTGGTGTGCCTCAAGAATTTTTAAAACATGCAACAGCTGACTTGTTAGTCAGGGGCACTGACCGCTTTTCCGTTTAGTTTGTCAAATAAAAAAAATAACAACAGCCAGCACAACAATAGCCGTTTGATGTGAATGAATCAAAATTATACCTATTTTTTGGCGTGCTTCAGAACTTAATAATTAGTTTATGTGTGCCATGAGATGAAAAAGGTTAAAAATCACTATTCTAATAGAATCTCTTTGTCACTTACATGGGTTTTTAAATATCTTTTCCATTCTGTGGCTTACCTTTTCAGTCTTTTAAGATGTCTTTTGATTCATAGAAGTTTTAATTTTAATAACTTCTTGCTTTATGGTTACCACTTTCTGAATTTTGTTTAAAAAGTCTTTCCCTATCATCTGTGTCCATGACTTATTCATCTATGCATATAAGTTCTTTGGTTAATATCTTCCACCCACCCATCCAACCCCGCCTTCCCTTTCTTTAACATTTCTTGTCTGTTCATGGTATTCTTGTTTGTTTTTCTAGTCGTTTGTGGCTTTAAGATATATTTTGTCTATTATTTTTCAAGGAAATAGAGTAGAAATTATGATGTAGTGTGTGTCCTTAGTTTGTAATTTTGATCCAACCTTCTTGTTTATAATAAAAACCAGTGGCCCAGTGCATGAATTTGTGCACATTGAAAGGAAATTAATTAGACTAAATATTTTAATATCGTTATTTGCCCTTTCTCTATAATAGAAGTGTCAACCAAATTCATGATTGACAATGACAGATTGAAACACGTATACAATTGGTGCCGGCTGGATTTATATATAATATATATATATATATATATATATATATATATATATATATATATATATATATATATAAAGTTGCTTAATTAAACCTGCTTTCTGATTTAGCTAAACTTTTTCCAGCCCAGTGAAGCACCCTGACTTTTCTTTCAGGTAATTGTCAGCAACACAGCAATAAATATCAAACTGAAGCAGATTATTATTGTAGATCATGCAGGGAGAGCAAAGGGTAAAATATTTAACTGCAGTGGTGTTTGACTATATTCTGCGCAGTGAGAAAACCTGAAGTCATTTTCAAGGTCCACCATTTCTTGATTTCAGTCGGGTCAAATTTCTAAGCTTTCTTAATCTCTGTTTTCCGGCTAATGAAAAGAAAATAAGTTTCCACTGAGTCTCCTATCTATCTACTCCAGGACTTCTGTGAGGATCAAATGAGATGCATGAGAAAACACCTCACAGACACTTGGCTAAAGTGTGAAATGGTTGCACCTAATTATAAAGCAAGTCGTGTTCCTGGGCTAAAGGAACTGTAAGGAGGCTAGTTGCGAGGGAGAGGAAGCTGGGCATTGCTATGTGACGTCATTACCCAGTGTACACAGCGACCGTTTCCTGGCTGGGCTGGGCTGGGCTGTGGGTCGCATTTTGCGCCATGGGATCTTGGCAGCTTCGCCTGCATTTTGTTGGGCTGTTGTTGCTCTGGGGTAGTGGTGGGGCCAGTGTCCCACTTGGACGAAGACGAATGTTACTTTGTGGGCACCAGGTTCACAATGCTGTTTCTCTGTAAATGGCCAGAGTGCATCACAGCAGCTCCTGCATTGAGCATCTGTTCCCTGGTGGTCAGTGCTTTTCATAGCAACTGATCAGATGGTTGGACACTTAGCATATTTGCCTTTTATATATATACTAGAGGCCCGGTAAACAAAAATTTGTGCACTCGGGGGGGGGGGGTCCCCTCAGCCTGGCCTGTGCCCTCTCACAGTCTGGGACCCCTCGGGGGATGACCATCTGCTGGTTGATGCCTGCTCCCCAGGGGATTGGGCCTAAGCTGGCAATCAGACATTCCTCTGGCAGCCGGGCAGCCCTTGGGGGATGTCCACTTGCCAGCGGGGAGCAGACCTAAGCTGCAGTCGGACATCCTTAGTGAGGAGGCAGGAGAGGCTCCCACCACCACCGCTGTACTGGCAGCCAGCAGCTTGGCTTGTGGCTGAGCAGAGCTCCTCCATGTGGGAGCTCACTGACCACCAGAGGGCAACTCCTGCATTGAGCATCTGCCCCCTGGTAGTCAGTGTGTGTCACAGTGACCAGTCATTCCCAGTCTTTCTGCTGTTAGGGTCAGTTTGCATATTGCCCTTTTACTATATAGGATAGAGGCCTGGTGCACGGGTGGGGGTCGGCTGGTTTGCCCTGAAGGGTGTCCTGGATCAGGGTGGGGGTCCCGCTTGGGTGCCTGGCGAGCCTGGATGAGGGGCTGAGGGCTGTTTTCAGGCTGCCTGCACCCCCTTCAGGGTGGGGGTCCCCACTGGGGTGCCTGGCCAGCCTGGATGAGGGGCTGAGGGCTGTTTTTAGGCTGCCCGCACCCCCTTCAGGGTGGGGGTCCCCATTGGGGTGCCTGGCCAGCCTGGATGAGGGGCGGAGGGCTGTTTTCAGGCTGCCTGCACCCCCTTCAGGGTGGGGGTCCCCACTGGGGTGCCTGGTCAGCCTGGATGAGGGGTTGAGGGCTGTTTTCAGGCTGCCCGCATCTGCTTCAGGGTGGGGGTCCCCACTGGGGTGCCTGGCCAGCCTGGATGAGGGGCTGAGGGTTGTTTTAAGGCAGGCCAAGCCTGCAACTGAAGCTCCCAGTCTCTCCTTTTTTTCTTTTTTTTTTATTCTGGGATTTATTTACCTTCTGTAATTGAAACTTTGTTGCGGCTCCAGCTCCGAGGCCGGCTAGCTGAAAGCAGGTTTCTGGGGTTTGTTTAGCTTCTATAATTGAAACATAGTTGCATTTCGGAGCTGTTGCTTTCAGGCTCAGAGCCAGGCCGCGGCAGGCAGGGAACCTTGGCTTCCTCCATTGCCGGGGCAACCACGCCTCATGTTTGCTTCAGCTGCGTGGCTGCCGGCCGCCATCTTGGTTGGCAGTTAATTTGCATATCACCCTGATTAGCCAATGGGAAGCATAGTGGAGGTATGGTTAATTACCATGTTTGTCTATTTTTTTAAAATATATTTTATTGATTTTTTACAGAGAGGAAGGGAGAGAGAGAGTTAGAAACATCGATGAGAGAGAAATATCGATTAGCTGCCTCCTGCACATCTTCCACTGGGGATGTGCCCGCAACCCAGGTACATGCTCTTGACTGGAATCGAACCAGGACCTCTCAGTCCGCAGGCCGACGCTCTATCCACTGAGCCAAACCGGTTTCAGCTACCATGTTTGTCTATTATTAGATAGGATTAGAGGCCTGATGCATGAAAATTCATGCAAGAGTAGGCCTTCCTTCCCCTGGCTGCCAGCACTGGCTTCCCTCCGGCACCCAGGACCCGGGCTGCTTCCCTCCTCCTGCCACCTTCTGGCACCCGGGACCTGGGCTGGCTTCCCTCGGGCCACCTGCAGGCACCAGGACCTGGACTGGTTTCCCTCCAGCCCTGGCTTCATCAGGAAGCATGTCCGGAATGACATCCGGAAGACCTCCGGTCATATTACCCTTTTATTATTATAGACATATAATGTTTATGTAAAATTGACAAAATACATAGTGTTAAAAGTAACATCATTCATATTTGCATAGTGACTATTTTGGCTTATTTCTTCCCCTTTTTTTTGCAAAATACTTAAGAATTTTGTCTATTATTTATCTATCTTACATAGCAAGCATTTTCTCATGTAATGATAAACTGCATAACTGGGACTTCACTTTCCAAGAAAACATTCTGGGGCCTGCTCTTTGGTGAGCGTCCTCTTGCCTCTCCACACTCATAGTAAGTATTGCTTTGGCTTGACTAGAAGGCCGAGTAAGGACATGTAGGCTGGAAAAAGATCTATTCTCTTTGCTCAGGGTATGTCCCTGTGAGGATTAGAGACAATGTATCATTTATTTTTTTATGATTATTTTTATTGTCAATTTAAAAATGAAATTCTTTTTTCTTTCTCACCTATAGTTCACTTAGCAGCCATGGAAGGCCACCTTCACTGTTTTAAATTTCTACTCAATAGAATGAACAGTGCAACACAAGCTTTAAAAGCCTTCAATGACAATGGAGAAAATGTGCTGGACCTGGCCCAGAGGTTCTATAAGCAGAACATTTTACAGTTTATCCAGGGGGCTGAGTATGAAAGAAATGATCCAAAAGATCAGGAAAGTAAGTAATAAACCTGAAATGTTTTAGCATTTAATATGTAGAATAAATTGAAAAGGAAAAGAAAGAAGTTGTAAGTTAAACATTAAAATATGTTACGTACCGTTGTCCATATATTTATACAGTTTCTTTTCTTTATTGAGAAATATTTTAGGCAGAAATGTACAGAGATTAATATAATGAGCAATCTTCATACCATTGGGTTTAAGAATAAAATAGTTGTTGCTAATCCAGCTGGAGATGGGTAGGGAAAAAGAATACATGCCTAGAAATAAAGATTTTTCAAAGTCTAATTTGAACTCATCACTTTTGCTAACTTTCCATTGGAAAGAGTTTAGTTACATGGCCATATACTAGTATTATCTAGGATCCTGGAGATTTTGCCACCTAGATGAGAAGCCTCATCTAAGCTGCAGCTCGCTTACTAATGAAGGGAAGGGATTTTAGTAGACAACTAGCAGTCTTTGAAACTTCTTTTAAAACTTTATTAAAATGGCATACAAGGGTATGTATCCTTTTATGACTTAACTTCTATGTCATATTTTTTAGGTTAGGTTGATAGATGTATCCTGGTTTTGTTTTTTAAATCCTCACTGGAGGACATGCTGAGAGAGAGAAACATTGATGCAAGAAGCGGATGGGTTGCTTTCTGAACATGTCCTGACTGGGAATTGAACCAGCAGCCCTTCAGTGCACAGCACCATGCTCAACCAACTGAGCCACTCTGGCCGGCTGCTTATTGATTTTAGAGAGGAAAGGAGAAGGGGGGAGAGAGAGAGAGAGAGAGAGATGGAGGGAGGGAAGAAAAGAAAAAATATTGATGTGAGAGAGAAACAACTGACAAAGAATATAGGTATGATGTTGATTCCTTCACACTGGACAGCTATTATTGTGTTGGTTGTTGTCATTTTTTTTTTTATTTGATAGTCTAAGGGAAAAGAGGTCAATGCCCCTGACTAAATAGTCAGGTATTGCATGTTCTAAAAATTCTTGCAGCATATCAGTTGAAAATTGCTGATATAGATTAGTTTGATTTTTTAATGAATAATTTTGAATTTCATCTGTGTTTGTATATATTAGTAGTTCATTCCTTTTTATCTCTGAATAGTATTCCATTGTATGAATATATATATTTTATCAATTCACCTGCTGATGAGTATTTGGATTGTTTTCAGTTTGGGCTATCCTATCTAATAAAGGAGTAATATGCAAATTGACCATCATTCCAACACACAAGATGGCCGCCCCATGTGGTCAAAGATGGCCACCACAAGATGGCCTGCAGGGGAGGGCAGTTGTTAGGTGATCAGGCTAGCAGGGGAGGGCAGTTCTGGGCGATCAGCCCAGCAGGGGAGGGCAGTTGGGAGGGACCAGGCCTGAAAGGGAGGGCAGTTGGGGGTGATCAGGCTTGCAGGGGAGCAGTTGGGCGTTGATCAGGCTGGCAGGGGAGTGGTTAGGGGGTGATCAGGCTGGCAGGCAGAAGCAGTTATGCGCAATCAGGCAGGCAGGCAGGTGAGCGGTTGGGAAACAGCAGTCCTGGATTGTGAGAGGGATGTCCGACTGCCTGTTTAGGCCCGATCCTGCTGGAATTGGGCCTAAATGGGCAGTCGGACATCCCTCGAGGGGTCCCAGATTGGAGAGGGTGTAGGTGGGCTGAGGGACCTCCCCCTCCCCCGTGCACGAATTTTGTGCACCGAGCCTCTAGTCATTAATAATAGAGATCTGCTCTGAACATTTACATAGACATATGTTTGCATTTTTCTTGTTAAATACATAGGAGTGGAGTATATGGTAGGTGTATGTTTAACATTAAAAAGTTGTCTAATTGTTTTCCAAAGTAGTTATATCACTTTACATCCCCACCAGATACGCATGAAAATTCTATTTGCTCCATGGAATTCCCAACATTTGATATGGTCATGTTTCATTTTAGCCTTTCTAATGGCTGTGAAGTGTTATATTATTGTGGTTTTAATCTACATTTTCCTGATGACTAATGATATTGAGCATCTTTTTATATGGGCATTCATATATGTTCTTTTATGAAGTGTGCATTTAATTCTTTTGCCCATTTTTCTTGGATTGATTGTCTACTAATTATTGAAAATTTGACAGTTCATTATGTTTTGTCAGATATATGTATTGCAGATATTGTCTCCCACTCTGAAGCTTGCATGTTTTTAATAGTGTCTTTCAAAGAGCAAAAGTTTTAAATTTTGATAAAGTCCAATTTATCAATATTTTACAGTTTATGTGTTTTTTGTGTCATATCTATGAAATATTTGCCTGCCCCAAGGTCAGCAAGATATTCTCCTATGTTTTCTAGCAATTTTATAGTTTTAGCTTTTTAATTTCTATCTTTGATCTCTACATCAAGTTAAATTTGATGTATTGAATGAAATAAAGTGTTGATTTTAATTAAAAAAATATAGCCACTTGTCCTAGCTCCATATTTTTGGAAAGCAGCTTTATAAAATATCAGCCATGTGTATATGTATAGGTGTATTTCTGGCCTCTGCATTCTATCACACTAATATATCTGTTTATTTGCCAGTACTACCCTGTCTTGATTACTGTTGCTTTATAATGCGACTATAAGTTTCAAACTTTGTTCTTTTTAACATACTCTTTGGCTATTCTAAGTTGTTTCTTTTCCATATGTAAAAATGAGAATAGCTATATCTCAGAGTTGCTAAGAGTCTTAAATGAGGCAGTCCTTGAAAATGCTTACAACTGTTCCCGGCATTCAGTAAGGGCTCAATATATGTAGTTGTTACTAAAAAAAAAATTATCAAGTATTTACTACTAGAGGCCCAGTGCATGAATTCATGCACAGGTGGGGTCCTTTGGCCTAACCTGTGATCAGGGCTGATCAGAAGGGAGGGGGCTGGCCTGCTGGGGGGAGAGACCGAGAGAGGTTGGTTCCAGCAGCAAGCTAACCAACGGCTGATTCCTCAAGGAATCGGGCTCCCTCCTCCCTCCTGTCTGGGTCCAGGGTGCGGGGCTGTCAGGGTGCCAGCAGCAAGCTAACCATTGGCCGATTACGTGAGGAATTGGGCTCCCTTCTCCCTCCTGTCTGGGTCCGGGGTGTGGGCGAACCAGATTTGGGACTGTCAGGGCCCCAGCAGCAAGGTCTGGGTTAGTGCGCATCATAGCTTTTGGCTGGTTGTTCCAGTTGTTCTAGTCATTCAGTTGTAACCATCACTTAGGCTTTTATATATATAGATATTCTAGGCACTAGTAGATCGGGTACATTCACACATCTATGTGTGTGTGTGTATATGTATATATATATACATACATATAAATATATATATATTTGTATATGTGTATATACATACCTGTACTTCATTTACTTACGGTTTACTTTCTTCACTTCCTTGCAAACAGAGGGAAAGAGTGGTTTATGCTAATGTAGGACTTGAGCCAAGTATGTCTTTATGCAAAGGGTCAAAAATGACCATCTCTTTGTGTTTTTTGTGAGCAGAGCCATGGGTAAAAGGGACTATGACTAAGAATAGTTCTGGTATAATACTACTACTAGCATGTTTGAGGTCCTGAGGGGTGGAAAGGCTACACAGTTAATAATAATCTTATTTTGTGGTTCTCTTTTTATTACTTTATTGTTAACAGAACTAATTCCAATATAACATTCTCATACTTCAGTTAATATTGAAATCTAAAATGTGCACCCGCTTAAGGCAGAAAAAAAGAATTAGCTCATGTGTTTACTGAAATGCTGAATTTTTTATTCATAGGTTTAGCATTTCCAGGTCATGTGGCTGCCTTTAAGGGTGATTTGGAAATGCTTAAGAAATTAATAGAAGATGGAGTAATCAATATTAATGAACGTGATAATAATGGATCAACTCCTATGCATAAAGGTGAGTTATGATTCTTCGTTGTTTTTAAAAAATATATATTTTATTGATTTTTTACAGAGAGGAAGGGAGAGGGATAGAGAGTTAGAAACATCTATGAGAGAGAAACATCAATCAGCTTCCTCCTGCACACTCCCTACTGGGGATGTGCCCGCAACCAAGGTACATGCCCTTGACCGGATTGAACCTGGGACCCTTGAGTCCACAGGCTGACGCTCTGTCCACTGAGCCAAACTGGTTAGGGCAAGTTATGATTCTTGTTTAATTTTCAATTCTGACACAATTGCTATTGAATTATTTACCTTTTAAAATAATTACCCATCAGAAACACATGAAAATGCATGGCAGAGTGCTTAATTTTTATTTTATTTTATTTTAATTAAAAATGTTTTAATTGATTTGAGAAAGAGAGAAAGGAAACATTAGTTTGTTGTTTCACTTTATGCATTCATCAGTTGATTCTTATATGTGCCCTTACCAGGGATACAACCTTGTTGTATCAAGATAATGCTCTAACCGAATGAGCTACCCGGCCAGGATCAGAGTGCTTAATTTTTAATTCAAGTGTGATACTCCTTTTATGATGTCAGATATTTACACATTTTCACATTTGAGGGTAATTCCAATAGAAGTTCTCTTTTGATTTTGTCATGTAGTTAAGATGTGAAATTCACGGTTAGAGAAATTTCTTAGGAGTAATATTTTCTTTGGACTGAAAATGTCCTGTTCATGCTAAAACCATATCTATCTTTTAAAAATGTTTTTATTGATTTTATAGAGAAAGGAAGAGAGAGAGAGAGAGAGAGAGAGAGAGAGAGAGAGAGAGAGAGAGAGAGAGAGAGAAACATTGATCAGCCTCCTGCACGGCCCCCACTGGGGATTGAGCCTGAAACCGGGTATGTAATGGGGAATCAAACGAGCAACCTCTAGGAGAATTTTCTTTATTCTAATACTCTGCAAAAAATGTTTTTTCTTCTATAGAAATATCAACATGATATGAACATGTTTTCTAGATATGTGCAATTTTTCTCTGCACTCTCCTTCCTTCTATGTGGAATTCTAAAAGATCCATGTTTTTTTGTTTTTTTTAGTCAGACCTTGTCAGATTGTCAACTCAGTGCAGGGAGTATATAGCTAGGATTTATTATTGCCAATATCCCTTTTATTTATAAATAAAAAGCCAAATCTTTAACTTCTAGCACCTGAAATTTCTATTTTGCTTCATTAGTGATATTATACTATTTTTAATAATGTGATGGCTGGTATTCTTGTAAAAGTCTTAGAGTAAAAATAGTAATGTTGCTCTAGCTGAGTTGGCTCAGTGGATAGAGCATCAGCCTGCAGACTGAAGGGTCCCAGATTCGATTCCAGTCAAGTGTATGTACCTTGGTTGCAGGCTTGAACCTGGCTCTGGTCAGGGACCATGAGGGAAGCAACCAATCCATGTGTCTCTCTCACATCCATGTTTCTCACTCTCTCTCCCTTTCCCCCTCCCTTCCATTCTCTCTAAAAAGCAATGGGAAAATATCCTCAGGTGAGGATTAACAACAACAATAAAAAGACAGTAGTCTTGTTAATATAGTCCTGTGTTTGAATAGGATTTTATTTTATAAATAACTTCTGGTTGTTATTTATTTCATAAATTATGAAATAATGTTACTGTTGTTTAGGTTCTTAGCTTAATCATTAAAGTTCATTTAATTTATAATGTATCTTAAGAATCTTAAGCACCATGTGTACCAATCTAATCTAATAAAAGAGAAACATGGTAATTGGCGTACGACCGCTACCCTTCCCACTGGCTAATCAGGGAGATATGCAAATTAACTGTCAGCCAAGATGGCGGCCGGCAGCCAGGCAGCTTGAAACTAACATGAGGCTTGATTGCTTCTGTGACGGAGGAAACCAACCTTCCCCGCCTGCCTTGCAGGCCTCTGAGCCTGCAGTTTGAAACATTTTAACAAATATAGAAGCTAAAAAAAAAACACCCCAGAAACCAGCTTTCAGTGAGCTGCGATCTCAGAGCTGGAGTCAGAGCTGGAGTTATACATTGTTTCAATTACCTACTTTCAGCAGCGGAGGCCTAAGAGCTGGAGCCTCAGAGCTAAAGCTGGCCCAGAATTAAAAAAAAGAAAAGAAAAAAAGGAGCGGTCCGGAGCTTCTGTCACCCGCCAGCCTGAAAACAGCCCTCAGCCCCTCACCCAGAATGTCCAGGCACCCCAGTGGGGACCCCCACCCTGAAGGGTGTGTGACCAGCTGCAAACAGCCCTCAGCCCCTCACCCAGGCTGGCCAGGCACCCCAGTGGGGACTCCTACCCTGAATGGGGTGTGACCAGCTGCAAACAGCCATCATTCCCTCACCCAGGCTGGCCAGGCACCCCAGTGGGGACCCCCACCCTGATCCAAGACACCCTTCAGGGCAAACCAGCCAGCCCCACCCATGCACCAGGCCTCTATCCTATATAGTAAAAGGGTAATATGCCTCCCAGCACCGGGATCAGCAGAGCCGACAGGCCTCCCGGCACCGGGATCAGCGTGACAGGGGGCAGCGCCCAAACCCCCTGATCGCCCTGCGGCTCTGTGTGTGACGGGGTGGGGCCACAACCTCCCTATCCGCCCTGCTCTGTTCATGACAGGGGAAGGCGCCCCAACCTCCTGATCAGCCCTGCTCTGTGCCTGATAGGGGGGAGCTCCCCAACCTCTGATCGCCCTGCGGCTCTGTGTGTGACAGGGTGCGGCGCCCCAACCCCCCGCACCCCCTCCCACGGGCCCTGCTCTGTGTGTGACGGGGCAGAGCCATAACCTCCCCATTGGCCCTGCCCTGAGTGTGACAGTGGCAGCGCCCCAACCCCCTGATCGGCCCTGCTCTGTGGGTGATAGAGGGCGACGCTACAACCCCCACCCCTCCCATGGGCCCTGCTCTGTGTGTGATGGGGTAGAGCCATAACCTCCCCATCGGCCCTGCCCTGAGTGTGAGAGTGGTGGCGTCCCAACCCCCTGATCGGCCCTGCTCTGTGGGTGATAGAGGGCGGTGCCCCAACCCCCTGATCCGCCCTGCTCTGTGTGTGACAGGGGGTGGTGCCCCAACTCCCCTATCGGCCCTACTCTCTGAGTGACAGGGGGCAGCGCCCCAACCCCCGGATTGGCCCTGCTCTGTGCGTGACAGGGGGTGGCGCCGCAACCTCCCCATCGACCCTGCCTTGAGTGTGACAGGGGGCAGTGCCCCAACCCCCCAATCGGCCCTACCCTGAGCGTGACTGGGGGTGGCATCACAACCTCCCGATTGGCCCTGCTCTGTGCATGACAGGGGGCGGTGCCCCAACTCCCCAATTGGCCCTGCTCTGAGCCCAACCAGGGGCTGCACCTAGGGATTGGGCCTGCCCTCTGCCACCCGGGAGCAGGCCTAAGCCAGCAGGTCGTTATCTCCCGAGGGGTCCCAGACTGCGAGAGGGCACAGGCCAGGCTGAGGGACCCCCCCTTCCCCCCGAGTGCACAAATTTTTGTGCACTGGGCCTCTAGTCCTATATAGTAAAAGCCTAATATGCTGTGTCTGGTCTACCCAGTTGGCCATTCAACCCATCAAAGCACAATATGCTAATGATATGCTAAGGCTGCTCAACTGCTTGCTATGACATGCACTGATCACCAGGGGGCAGACACTCCAACTGGTAGGTTAGCTTACTGCTGGGGTCTGGCCAATTGAGACTGAGCGAGATCGGCTCAACACTCTGGAACCGTCCTGTGGTCCCTCCTTGGCTGGCCAACCTCCTGCGTCCCTCCCCGGCCCTGATTGTGCACTGGTGGAGTTCCTCAGCCTGGCTTACACCCTCTCACAATCCAGGACTCCTCAAGGGATGTTGGAGAGCTGGTTTTGGCCCGATCTTGCAGGCCAGGCTGAGGGACCCCACTGGTGCACAAATTCGTGCACTTGGCTTCTAGTAGTTTTATAAGAGAAAGGGTATTTGGGGCAGAAAGAAGGCGAAGTGAAAGGGGTTTCTCTTATACATAGAGGGGTCCCACTTTGGTAAATGCTATTCTGTAGTTTGGAGAATCTCACTCCATCCACCTCTACTAGCTGTCTAGGCATTAAAGCTTTTCACTATGGGATTTATGAATGGAGTGGATACTTAAAATGTGCATAAAAGATTGTGGTTTTTAAAAAATGTGCTGCCCTGGAGAAAAGCCCCCATTTTATAACCTAGGTACAACCAGTTTTTATTCCTAGTGTGTATGTGGGGTGTCATTTATGAGAAGCAAAAGAGAGGCTCACTCACGGTATTTATAATGCATCTTTGGAGTGATGATACATTAAAGTAAGTTTTACTTGCCAGATGCTTTTCAGCCTATCAGTCAGTTCTTTACCAGTTGAACTGAGATGGAAATGAGGGAACTGGAAGAAGGTTCTAAAGAGATTGATGTACAACAATAGAGTGTTTGGGTTACAGCTATTGTGAGAAGGTGAGAGGGTGAAAGTGAAGAGGAACCAAAAGGGTTTGCCCTTCACCCCTTCTCTGGTCAGTTTGTCCGTAAGAACTCCTGGGGCCAAGGGTGGATCACATGGTATGGTGGAGGGGTGATAAGTGGCTGGAGCAGGAGAAGGGAAATTTTTGTGTACATTATCTTATTTTCTGTGGAGTATCTGTATGCTAAATCAGGGTAAATAACAGTTTCCTTATAATTTAATTAACATGTTGTCAGTCTATCTGCTTCTTTTTCTTTCATTTTAATTTTGATTCAGTAAATAAGCTGCAGTATCAGTCATTTAATGATTTTTAAATCTACTATGACTTCTCTTTCATTTACTTCTAAGCTTTAATTATTTCAAATCATTTTTTAAAAATTTCTAGCCACTGCATAATTTTTTCTTGTTCTCATATAAAACATTGGTCCAATTAATAAATATATTCTAATCAATATATAATAAGGATCTTAGATAAAAATTCTTTTACTGTATTTCATTGTAGACAAATTACTTAGCGCCCCCCCTCCCAATATTAACTGTGTAATAAAATGGAAATGTTGGGTTAAACTCTGTTTTATAAAGCTCAGCATTGTTCAGGATTCATAAATATGGTTTTGTAACTCTTACAGAGAAAAGATGTTGCTGTTTTTGTTTAAAGTAGGGTTATGTCTACAGGTATGGGAAATCCTGTAGTATTCTTTGTTAGCTATTTTGGATTTGCTGTAGGAGAAAAGAGAAGCGAAAAGAGAAGCCCCAGGTTCCTCGGGGGCCAATTCTGAGTTTGGAAGATGGACCTGAGTCATTTCGGGAAAGGTAGGATAAGAGTGCTTATACTAGTAGACCTTTTGTAAGCTGGGCCATAGGGCTATAGTGATGGGGTTTGCTTTGTCATTGGATCTGGCTTTGTGTCCTTTCCTCTCTATTCCCAGTATTGGAGGCAGATTAACTTTTTAAGACACCAAGCCATACCAAAAGTTCATGCTCTGATTTATTTTACAGAGGTACATATATATTCAGTACCAGTCATGTGCCCACACCATGAAAATTGCGTGAGATCCAGACCTTACTGTTAAGGAGCTATATACTTATACCATGAGCAACTAGAGATTTGTATAAGTCAGGATGTAATAAATGGCAAAAAGTTTTTGGTTGTTAAAATACATGCAGTGGAATTCAGGAGTAGAAATTGAACAGAAGTTGCTAAGTGTTAAATTATTGAGGAAATATTCATGGGAATTCATAAATAATACCTTATGTTTATATAACATTTAACTGTCATGTTCAATCCTTATTGTAATTTTACAAGCCAGCAGTGTAAATCACTGCTGCTTTATAAATATGAAATTATCTGTGTAAAAGATGAGAAAATTGAGGTCCAGAGGAACCAGGTTTTTTGACTGAGGTTACACAGTTGGTAAGAGCAGAGCTTAGATTTCATTTATTTATTTTTCTTCATTCACTCATCAAATCTATAGATATTTGTTGCAGGTCTGTATGTGCCAGCCACTTGCTAATTCTGTTCTGTCCTTCAGTCTCATTGTTTAGTAGACCTAAATTCAGCTCTTTTAAGTTTATTAAGTCCCCCTGTCCCAGTTTCCCTGAGTCTTGAGATGGACTTAGAAGGATGGGTAGAAGTCAGATAAGCATAGAGTTGAGTGATGTACACTAGGTGAGAAGACACATAAGCAGTGTTGTGGAGGTGAAAATTAATATCAAGTGCATGTGTCTGAAGAGCAAGATTTAGAAAAAGGTGTAAATAGTTTAGGTAATTGGGGATCTATAAATTTTGAGTTGTGAGGGTCAGAGGAATAAGTTCTGTGATAGAAGATTGGTCAGGAGCTATCAATACCAGCAGACAGACACTCAATAAGATTAGAAAAAATTAGATTATAGTTTCAAATCCATTACTTACTAGCTGTGTGATGTTAACGAAATAACTTCTTTGAACCTCAACTTTTATATCTGTATGTAAAGTTCTCTGTATAGGTGATGGGTACAGTATACATTTGATTACATGTTTGTCTGATGAATGAATAAATGAAATGGAGAAAATTACATCTTCCCAATTTATTGGTTATTGCAAGTATCAGTATTTATGAAAGTACTCTCTAATGGTGTTCAAAGTTTGGAAAGTTGCTACTAGTAACAACTTTTTGTGTATTTTCTGTTTGTTTTTACAGCTGCTGGACAAGGCCACATAGAATGTTTGCAGTGGATAATTAAAATGGGAGCAGACAGTAATATTACCAACAAAGCAGGGGAGAAACCCAGCGATGTGGCTAAGAGGTATCCCTATATGCTTCACTTTTTTCTTTTTGGTTTTGTTTTTAAAGTTTTGCGTATACTCTGTTATACTTGGAAATCTTTGAAGATTCAATGGGATGACATTGTCAAATGCTGGGAGAATGACAGTATTCAAGCTGAATAGACATTTGACAGTATATTAACTCTTTTCTTTAAAGCAGTGATTCTCAACTAGGAGGAAGTATCGTCCCCTTTCCTAGAGGAGGGGCATTTGGAAATTTGGGTTTGTCACAATGACTAGCAACCATCTAATATCCTATCTAATAATAGACAAACATGGTAATTAACCATACCTCCGACACGCTTCCCATTGGCTAATCAGGGTGATATGCAAATTAACTGCCAACCAAGATGGTGACTGGCAGCCAGGCAGCTGAAGCGAACAGGAGGCTTGCTTGCTCCAGTGATGGAAGAAGCCAAGGTTCCCCGCCTGCCGCTGCTGGGCTCTGAGCTTGCACTCTAAGAAACAATGTTGCAATTATAGAAGCTAAACAAACCCCAGAAACCTGCTTTCAGCCAGCCAGGCCTCAGAGCTGGAGCTGCAACTATGTTTCAATTATAGAAGGTAAATAAATCTCAGATACCTGCTTTCAGCAGCCGAGGTCTCAGAGCTGGTGCCGAGCCTCAGAGCTAAAGCGGGCTCTCAGCTCCAGTGACAGCCATAGAAGGTAAATAAATCCCAGAATAAAAAAAAAGAAAAGAAAAAAAGGAGAGGTTGGGAGCATCAGTCACCCACCAGCCTGAAAACGGCCCTCAGCCCCTCATCCAGGCTGGCCAGGCACCCCAGTGGGGACCCCCACCCTGAAGGGGGTGCAGGCAGCCTGAAAACAGCCCTCAGCCCCTCATCCAGGCCCACCAGGCACCCAAGCGGGACCCCCACCCTGATCTGGGACACCCTTCAGGGCAAACCAGCTGGCCCCCACCTGTGCACCAAGCCTCTGTCCTATATAGTAAAAGTGTAATATGCAAACTGACCCTAACAGCAGAAGGACTGGGAATGACTGGTCACTATGACACACACTGACCACCAGTGGGCAGACGCTCAATGCAGGAGCTGCCCCCTGGTGGTCAAGGCACTCTCACATGGGAGGAGCTCTGCTCAGCCACAAGCCAGGCTGCCGGCTGCCAGTACAGTGGTGGTGGTGGGAGCCTTTCCTGCCTCCTCAGCAGTGCTAAGGATGTCCGACTGCAGTTTAGGCCTGCTCCCTGCTGGCAAGTGGACATCCCCCGAGGGCTGCTGGGCTGCCAGAGGGATGTCTGATTGCAATCTTAGGCCCAACCCCCCGGGGAGCAGGCCTAAGCCAGCAGGTGGTCATCCACTGAGGAGTCCCAGGCCGGGCTGAGGGAACCCCTCCCCCCCCCCCGAGTGCACAAATTTTTGTGCACCGGGCCTCTAGTATATATATAAAAGCCAAGAGACCAGAACACCGGAACAACCGGTTGCTATGACATGCACTGGGGAGGCGAATTGGCCTGATCAGGGCCCTGATTGACACCCCCCCAATTGCCCACAGCCCCTCCCTCCCGGCCAGTCCTATCCCTGATGGGTGCCCTTCCTCCCCGATCAGAGGCGGGGCCAGCCGGCCAACTTCCCGCGGCCCCTTTCCCCCCACTGGCCAGCCTGATCAGCTCTCATTGGGGTGGGCCGGCCGGACCCCACCTGTGCATGACTTCGTGCACCGGGCCTCTAGTATTCATGACCCCCAAAAGTCTTCTTGTGCTCCTTTTTAATCTCCCTCCCTCCCACTGCTGACTTCCCTAAGCAAACACGGGTCTGCTTTTTGTCACTGTAGATTAGTTTGCATTTTTAGAGTTTTATTATGAATGGAATCATATAGTAAGTACTATTATATAGCTGGCTTCTTTAAGCCAGCATAATTATTTTGAGAATTCGTATGTATTAGTAGTTCATTTCTTATTGCTGAACAGTTTTCCATCAGATGTAGAATTCTATAGTATTCCATAGTTTGATTATCCACTAACCTGTTGAAGGAGATTTTGATTGTATCCATTTTTTGGTGATTATGAATAAAACTGCTATAAATATTTACATACAGGATTTTGTGTAAATATAAGCTTTAAGTTTACTTGGGTAAATACTTAGGGGTAGTATTGGTGGGACATATGCTAAGGGTATGTTTAACTTCATAAGAAGCTGCCAAAGTGCTTCCAAAGTGATCATAGGCATTGACATTCCAAAAGTCTCTGTTGTCAGGTTCTTTGATTTTAGTGATTTTAGTAGGTGTGCAGTGGCATCTCGTTGTGGTTTTAATTTGCATTTTCCTAATAAAAATTATTTTGATTTTGAGCATTTTTTCATATACATTTTTTCCATTTGTATATTTTCTTTTGGTGAAGTGACTGTTTAGATCTTTTGTCCAGTTTTTAAAAGTGAGTTGTTTTCTTATTATTGCTTTACAAGCTATTTATATATTCTGGATACTAGTTTTTTCCTTACATTTTTATTTTGTAAAAATGTTCTCCCAGTTTAGGCTTGTTTTTTTAATTCTGTTAACAATGTCTTTGAAGAGCAGAAGTTTTTTTTTTTAATCAATTTGTTCTTTTATGGATTATGCTTTTGGTATCATAGCTAAGAAATTGTCAATTAAAACAAAGTCACAAAGATTTCTCCTTTGGTTTCTTTTAGATGTTGTATAGTTTTAGGTCTTACATTGAGGTCTATGATGCATTTTGAGGTATGCATCCAAAGTGTTCTTTTTTTTTTTTTTTTAAATATAGATATCCAATCGTTGTAGCACTATTTGTTGAAAAAGCTGTCCTTTCTCCACTTTATTACCTTTGTGTCTTTGTCCAAGTTAGTGTGCATATTTGTGTGGGATTATTTCTAGGCTTCATATTTTGTCTGTTGATCTGTCTATTTGTTTATCTTTATACCAGTATTATATGGGTGATTTAATACTATGAATATATCTGGAGTTAATAATAATTTCTGGCCCACATTTTTCTTCATTCATGCACCAAAAGGCTAGGTGTAAAGTGTAATGTTGAATCTGTATAAAGCAAGTACTCAGTAAATGAAAGCTGTTAAATTACAACCTAGTAATAGAACTAATGATTTCTGTTAACCTTATAATTTCCTACATATGTTTATTTCTATATCTTTAATGATTTTCAGTACCTGGTGAAAGGTATGAATATATGTATGTACGTGTGTGTGTGGTTATGTGGTTATGGAAAACATAGAATTTGAGGTTTTTTGTGGTTAGCGAGTAATTATCCTTGTCCTAAGAGAAAGCATTGAACATCTTAATTAGGAAAACTGTGGAAAAATATTCAGATTACATGCAATTACAACAACTCCAAAATCAAAGGTGTATTATTGGAAGCTTCAGAGATGTAGGAAATAGCAAAGAAAATAGAAAATATGGATGGAAAGTCATTATTTTTCCATTAAATTTCAAAGCTATGTCAAGTGCTTTGGGTTGAAGAAGAATCAAGATTAAGGGTGCTAGAGCTATAGTTATCCCTAAAAATGGAACCATAACTAATTCTACAATCTAAATTAGGCCATCAGAAAAAGGTAGTAAATGCAGGCGATCAAATAGGGTGGTTTTGAACTTTCTGTTCTATTTAGCAATTCTCTTTTGGTCTCCTCTTTCAGTTGGGTTTTTGCCAATAAAAATGATAGAATCTGTCTTTAATGATCACTTGTCCTTAGTGTTGAATAACTGAGTTTCCCATGTACTATTAGCTGGATATAGTACATCAAATTGGCACTGAGACTCAGGTATAGTTTTGTTCCTTTACTGAATGGGTGGGTTGGTGGCATAATGTACAAAGTGTAATTACTTAAATTAAGTTCAAACTGCAGTTTCAATTTGAAAATTGTGGTTCTTGTTCATTGGTGATTCTTTTCTACAGGTTTGCCCATTTAGCAGCCGTAAAGCTATTAGAAGGGCTACAGAAATATGATATAGATGATAATGAAATTGATGAAGATGATATGAAGTGTTTTATAAGACATGGTGTTGAGGGAAGCACTGATGCTAAGAATGATTTATATCTTAATGAGTCAGATAAAACAGATGCCAGAAGTAAGTGTGCCAACTCTGTTGTGATTTGTTCTTTAAGAAATGCCATAGCCATTGTCTTTCCTCCAAATTTGAAAATTATCCTAAAGATAGCTATTATCTACAAAGTAAAATACTTTCATTTTGGGGGGAACCAGAACTAGTATAATTTTGGTACTAGGGGTTGTTGAACATATAAAAAATGTAAGACATGATCTCTTTCCCTCAAGGAGGAAAATGTTATATAAGAGGAAACATTATTTAAGTGGATCATAGGAAACAGGAAGAGACATCCCAAGGATTTCCATGGTTAGTTGGCAAGTGATTTTTACAGATAATAATAGCAGCAAATATTTATTGTCTACAATGTGCCAGATACTGTTGTAGTTATTGGAGAAACAGTGAACAATATAAAATCCCCAACATCATCCAGAATTTACCTTCTGGAGATGTGGTGGTGACAGATAATAAGAAAATAGATACATAAAGAAAATAAAGTAGATTGGTGCTATAGATAAGATAACCATTAGAGGAGTCCTCTCTAAGGGAGTGACATTTGAGAAGAGACCTGAGCCTGTAGATGCCAGTTACCTATTCCCCTCCACCCATCAAGTTCACAAGCAACAATGTGTCCAGATGATGTCAAATGTTCTTAGGGGAGAAAATCACCCCAGGTTGAGAAGCACTACCACACAGAATAGAAGGTTCGATAGTTGGAGAATAGCTAAAAGCTGCTCTCAACACACTTCCTTCTCTCAGTATCCTCTTGCATAGATATTACAAGTAACTAATCATAAAATTTGGGAGCTGGACTAGTTATTGTTTTAAATAAATGCAGCATATTTCAATTTTTCTAATTTTTGTCGTATCATAGATTACGCATGGTCCTGTAATATACCACTACTCTAAACCACTGCTAGTCTTTAAACTTCCTTGTTCATAGTATTAAAAGTCATAACAGTCTGATACACCCTCCAAGAGTAGGAGGAGAACCCTCCATTTAGGTTTATCATTGCTTGTTCATCCAAATATTATTTACTGATATTTATCCTTCTGTGTGTTTGCCACCTCCCTCCACCTCCTCCCCAAACCACACAGACACTGGCTTTAGAGGAAGAATAGGCTACAGGATGAGCATCCTGCCAGCACCTGTCTAAATTAGGTTTCTATGCAACTCTGTCTTGCAGTGAGAGCCTATAAGAAAATTGTAGAATTGAGACACCTCCTGGAAATTGCTGAGAGCAACTATAAACACTTGGGAGGGATAACAGAAGAAGACTTAAAGCAGAAGAAAGAACAGCTGGAGTCTGAAAAGTAATGTCCTCCAAACTTTAATGGTTTCTTTTTAGTTCTCTCTCTAAATGCCATGTGAAGGTTTGTTGACCAACAACTTGTTTTGTTATCCCCACCAAAGGACATAAGAGTCTGTCCTGTTTTCCTCCTAAGTCCCCAGATAGAGAAGGTATTAAGATTTTTTTTGTGTGTGTGTGTTAAAATACACATAACATAAAGTATAGCATCTTAACCATTTTTAAGTACAATTCAGTAGTGTTAAATAGATTCACATTTTTGCACAACCTATCTCCAAAACTCTTTTCATCTTGTAAAATTGAAATTCTGTAGAGTTTTTTTTTTTTTTTGAGATCACAGCTACTTTGAGCTTTTCAATCAACGTATCTATAACCATCCCTATCAAATTGGACTGCTTATTCATGAATCTGAGGTCCAGGGCTGTGGTACCTCATCAGAGGATGCTCTGTGTCCAGAGGCAGTGAGCAGTTGCATCCTTTACTCCCTGCTCCCTAAGTTGGCTCTCTGCACATTTGGTGCCTCTCTACTTAATTAATGGCTGCTGGAATAGAAGATGCCTAGTGCTTATTTCTTCCCACTGCCTCTCTGCTGTCGGTCCGCTTTTCAGAATGGACAGGGAACAACGGGAGACAGGGGAGAAGACTTTTAATCAAAACTTGGGTCTGTACAGAGGATTCTCCTCTTTCTCCGCCCTCTCCTTTGGTTGGGTCTCTTTCCCTCAGACTCTTAGAACCTCCCGCTTCCCTTTTCTCTGTTTTCTTCTGAATATAGACTCAGTAAGAGGTCTGGTGAATGCATTCAGAGTAATATCTAAATCTTTGATAAGGGTTAATATATTATCCTTCCATGGATATTTGGGAATTTGAGTAGAAGACAAAGCTTTAAGCCAAAATACTCTTCTCTTTCAGTGGGATTTTAGAGACTAGGAAACTGGGGCAAAATTTAATTTTTTTTTAAAAACCAGGGGCCTTCTTGATGACTCACAGACACCAGGGGGGGTAAGGGCATGAGTGTGTGTGTGTGTGGGGGGGGGGCGCAATGGGGCGATAAGGACACATATGTAATACCTTAATTAATAAAGAAAAAAAGTCTTTATTATTTAAGGTATTACATATAGTATTACATATGTCTTCTTTTCCCCCCATTGACCTCTCCCTGGCCACCCCCACCCCCCAGCACATGCCCTCACCCCCCTACTGTCTGTGTCCATTGGTTATGCTTACATGCATGCATACAAGTCCTTTGGTTGATCTCTTACTCCCTCCACGCTCCCCTGCCTTCCCTCTGAAGTTTGATGGTCTATTCGATGTTTCTGTCTCTATTTTTGTTCATCAGTGTATATTGTTCATTATATTCTACAAATGAGTGAGATCATGTGATATTTATCTTTCTCTGACTGATTTATTTTGCTTAGTGTAATGCTCTCCATGTCCATCCATGCTGCTGCAAATGGTAAGAATTCCTTCTTTTTTACAGCAGCATAGTATTCCATGTGTAGATGCACCACTGTTTTTAATTCACTCATCTGCTGATGGGCACTTAGGCTGTTTCCAAATCTTAGCTATTGTAAATTGGGCTGCTATGAACATAGGAGTGCATATATCCTTTCTGATTAGTGTTTTTGATTTCTTGGGATATATTCCTAGAATTGGGATTACTGGGTCAAATGGGAGCTCCATTTTTAACTTTTTGAGGAAACGCCATATTGTTTTTCCACAGTGGTTGCACTAGTCTGCATTCCCACCAGCAGTGCAAGAGGGTTCCTTTTTCTCCACATAGCTAGTACTTATTGTTTGTTGATGATAGCCATTCTGACAGGTGTGAGATGGTATCTCATTGTCGTTTTGATTTCCATCTCTCAAATGATTAGTGACTTTGAGCATATTTTCATGTCTCTTGGCTTTCTGTATGTCCTCTTTCGAAAAGTGTCTATTTAGGTCCTTTGCCCATTTTTTGATTGGATTGTTTATCTTCCTTTTGTTAAGTTGTATGAGTTCCCTATAAATTTTGGAGAGTAGGCCCTTATAGGATATAACATTGGCAAATATGTTCTCTCATGCAGTGGGCTTTCTTATTGTCTTGTTGATGGTTTCTTTTGCTGTGCAGAAGCTTTTTATTTTGATGTAGTCCCATTTGCTTATTTTCTCCTTAGTTTCCATTTTCCTAGGAGTTGTATCAGTAAAGATATTGCTACGACATTTGCCTGCTTTTTTGCTGTCTATGGATTCTGCTAAGATTTTTATGGTTTCCCATTTTATGTTTAAGTCCAAATAAAAATGGCTACAAACAAGTACCTATCAATAATAACCTTAAACATAAATTGATTAAATGCTCCAATCAAAAGACATCGAGTGGCGTAATGGATAAGAAAATATGACCCATATATATGCTGTCTACAAGAGACCCACCTCAGAACAAGGGACTCACACAGACTGAAAGTGAAGGGATGGAAAAATATCATTCAGGCAAATTGAAATGAAAAAAGAGCTGGGGTAGCAATACTTATATCTGACAAAATAGACCTCAAAGTGAAGGCGATAACAAGTGATAAGGAAGGCCACTTCATAATACTAAAGGGATCGATACAACAAGAGGATATAACTCTGGTAAACATATATGCACCCAATGTAGGAGCATCCAAATACATGAAAAAACTTCTGGAAGACATCAAGGGAGAGATTGACAACAATACAATCATAGTAGGGGACTTTAATACCTCATTGGTATCACTGGATAAATCCTCTATTCAAAAAATCAGCAAAGAAACAACAATCCTAAGTGACTTGCAAGATCAGATGGACTTAATCGACATCTTCAGAACATTTCACCCCAAAGCTACAGAATATACATTCTTCTCAAGTGCACATGGGACATTTTCAAAGATAGATCACATATTGGGACACAGGCAAAGTCTCTTCAAATTCAAGAAGATTGAAATCATATCAAGCATCTTCTTAGACCACAATGGCTTAATATTAGAAATAACTACAATATAAATAATCAAAAAAATTCAAACACTTGGAGGCAAAATAGCATGTTATTAAACAATGATTGGGTTATCAGAGAGATCAAAGGAGAAGTAAAAAAAACATCCTGGAAACAAATGACAATGAAAACACAACAACCCAAAATTTATGGGACACAGTGAAAGCAGTCCTGAGAGGGAAGTTCATAGCATTAAAAGCCTATCTCAAAAAACAAGAAAAACTGGTAATAAATTACCTAACTCTACAACTTAAAGAATTAGAAACAGACCAACAACAAATGCCCAGAGTGAGCAGAAGGAAGGAAATAATGAAGATCAGAGTGGAAATGACGTAGAGACCAAAAACACAATTCAAAAGATAAATAAAACCAAGAGCTGGTTCTTTGAAAGGATAAACAAGGTTGATGAACCTTTAGCCAGATTCACCAAGAAGCAGAGAGAGGACCCAAATAAACAAAATCAGAAATGAAAAAGGTGAAATAACAAAAGCCTGCAGGAATACAAAGGATTGTAAAATATACTATGAACAACTCTATTCCAACAAACTGGTCAACCTAGAAGAAATGGACATATTCCTAGAAAAATACAACCTTCCAAAACTCAATCAGGAAGAATAAAAAAATCTGAATAGGTTGATAACTATGGAGGAAATTGAAGCAGTAATCAAAAAACTTCCAGCAAACAAAAGCTCTGGTCAGACATGTCTGCCTGCACTGTGGAACATGTTCTGTTTTCACATAACGACAATGGGGAAGGGAATCGATTTCTAGAGTACTCCTTTGTGCCAGGAACTGGGCTGTAGGCGTAGAGACATCATCACACTTATACCTTAAGACAATGGGATACTTTGGCCGGACGGAAGATGGCGGCGGTATAGGCAGACGCGTCCCAGGTCGTGTCCCGGAGCAAATGGAGTGAGCAGCTGAAACTAGTAACATCCACCCCGAATTGGCGAAATTGCTCAGCTGGTGAGACGGTTTGCAGCCGGGAAGAGCAGAACTCCCCTGGAAAGGTAAAAAAAACAGGGATTTGGGCAGGAAAGGTTCCCAGACCTCTGAGCCCAGAGAGTCAGAGGGAGACCGCGTGGCAGACAGCCGCGTCCCTTGGGACAGGCACAGCCCCTGACGGGGGAAAGGAGAACCGCGGGATTCCTGGCGCCGCCGGGAGAATTGCGAGCTGGGTTCTGTGATCACGGAGGACTGAGCCTAAAGGGGGCAGCCTGAAGAGCTGACCAGACCATGCAGTCCGGGTAAGAAAAGAAGCTTACAGAAACCAAGCCTTCCCCGTTTCCGCGGCCGGCATTTGTTTGTTTGTTTTCACTGAATCCTGTTCATGGGACATTTCGGATACAGACACTCACCTGTGCTGAAGAGAGGAAGAGGGTGCGGAGGAGTGGAATCTGGGGAGAGTCTGAGGAGAGAAGGGGGGCCGGGAGAGGTGGCAACGAATTGAGTGCTGAGACACCCCTGAGCCCAGGACTAGGGCAGCCATTCTCTCCGGAGAGTGAGACTCCTCCCCCCAGCCCCCAGGCAAGGAGCACAGCCACACCCAGATTCCACCCTGTAGGAGATCAAGGATTAAAATAACCTGATCAGACCCTGGGAGTTAACAGGGTCTGGCCTATAGAGGGATTTTCAATCCCAGCAACAACACAGCACTGGTAACTATTACGCAGCCAGCTCTGGGCAGTGAACTCCCACTGGACAGAGAGGCCCTATAGCCTCAGAGGCCAACCCCAGAGCACTGCCACCCAGAGGCTGACCCACAAACTGACTCTTTGCTAAACACAAAATAAGGCAGTCTGGGAAACAAATGCAGCTTGCTTTAAAATAAGGACTGTGGTTTACAACACAGAGGAACAGTGTATCGCAGGGAAACTCAACACCCTCCTGAATACCTGGCAGGTCTAAGGCGAGCCACACTGAAGAATAGAAGAACCGAAGGACCTTCACTACTGCAATATTTTCTTTTTTTTCTTTTTTCACCTTTTAACTAAGAAACCAATTTTTTTTATTTT